GGGGCTCCAGGCTTGTCCCCTGTCACCAGCTGAGGGGGTGGTGCAGGGTGGGTTTCCCGCCTTTCCAGGTGGGACGGAACGCGGTCGCCTCAGAACCAGCCTTGTCTGGAGGCCAGGGGAGCCCTGCCCCTCCTGGTGTCCCCAAGCCACCTGGGCTGGGTCCCTGCGGGACCTGCCTCCAGCTCCCAGCCCTGTCCCCAGACCACTGACCAGGGCGAGGGCCTGGGTCAGGTGGGTCCCCTACCCAGCTCAGCTGTGACCTGACCCTGAAGGTCACAGGGAGCCAGTTGGTGTTCGGGGCAGTGGGGACAGGAGCCAGAGCACCGGTTCCGGCAAAGAGGGGGAGGAGGCCCTGCCGGGCTGGTCCGCTCACCCCGGGCTCTGGGGCGGGCGGGGGCAGTGGGGTGTTCTGGGTACCCCAAGGCTTCTCTGCCTCCACCCAGCCTGTCCCCGGACTGGGGCTGCCCTGTCCCACCAGCCCAGGCCAGGCCCTGGCATCCTCACCGTCCCTACAGCCTGCAGCAGCCAGCTCCCCGGCTCTTCCAGACTCAGGACCCCCGATGTCGGGGGTCTCCAAGTCTGCAGGGTGCCCCAGAAGCAGACCCTGAGGGCACACTGTGGGGAGTGAGAGGGGCTGGGAGGACAGCCACATGGGCAGCCGGAATCCCACCTGCAGGGGACCGTGGGGGATGGGTTGGCAGTGACCCCCAGGAGCCAGGGGCTTCTTCCAGTGGGAGGTGGCCCCCGGGTCTGCTCAGGCCGACCCGCTGCTGGTCAGGGTCCTGATGCCAGTTATTTTATTTATTATGGTTAATTTTAGAATTCCCATTGGATTGGGTATTTTCATAAACTCCAGGCCTCCGTTAAAATCCCCCAAGTAGTCATTTACTTGTGGCATGTTTAATCATAATTATTTAAAAGTCCATGTCTGATGGCCTCAATATCGGGGCCACCTGTGAGCTGCTGCTTTGATTTTTCTCTCATGTTTCTTTCTCTGTTGTGATTCCCCGTCTCAGGGCTGGCCTGGTGACGCTGGGCGTGGGGGGGCCTGGCGTGTGGACAGTGCAGGGTCTGCTGCAGCGAACGTCCCCTCGGGGCCCCAGCCAAGAGCCTGGGCCTCTCCCCGGCCCTTCTCCTTGGTGCCAGAGCCCAGCGTCAGCAGACACGCCAGCCCAGCTCTTCAGCTCCACTCCAGGCTCAGCCTCTTACCTTCACCCCAAGCCGCTGCGAGGTGGCGGGCAGCTCAGGAGAAACAGGCAGAGACGGGTGTGTGGGCGCCTTGGACGCCCGCTCTCATCCCCCAGGCCTGTGAGAGCCTCTAGGCCCAGCACCACCCAAGCAGCAAAGTCTGCTGAGCAGCAGGCGAAACGCAGGCTCCTGTCGGCGCGGCCCCTTGTGCGCAGCCCAGCCCTGAGTCCCGGCTGCCTCCATCGCCCGAGGCCCTTCTAGCAGCTGTTTTTCTTCTTTTTTTTTTAAATTTTTTTATTGATTATGCTGTTACAGTTGTTCTATTCCCCCTTTCATTCCCCTCCACCCTACCCCCCATCCCCACCATCACCCCCCCTTTAGTTTATGACCATGTGTCTCAAGTCCTTTAGATTCTATATTTCTCATGCTATTCTTGCCCCCCTTCTATTTTCTATCTACTGTCTATGCTACTTATTTTCTGTACCTTCTCCCCCCTTCTCCTCCTCCCACTCCCCTGTTGCTAACCCTCCTTGCAGCTGTTTTTCAATCCAGCTCTTAAGAGTTGTGCAGTTTTAAAAAAGTAATCTTTTTAACTTTTTATTGATTGGTTTTTGAGAGAGGGAGAGAGGGATGTCAGGTTGCTGTTCCACTGGATGCATCACTGGGTGCTTCTTGTATGTGCCCAGGGACCCAGCCCACACCCTTGGCCTGGACCTGCAGCGGGAAGTCGGCCATGCACAGCTGACCTCTGGCTTCTGGTCAGTGCTGGTGTGCAAGGCTGGACAGAGCCCTGGGAAGGTAAAAGGGAAGGACTGGTCCCCGGGCCTGAGTCTTGGGACCTGCTGGTCTGTGTCTGTCACCTTTGTGTCACACACGTGTCATCTGCCAGCACAGGGCTTGCCCTCTTGTGAGCAGCAAAGGCCCGCTCTCGGGGCTCGGCTGTAGCCAGAGCTTTTAATGCACCAAGCAAACCTGGTGAGGAAATGCAGACCTTCGAAGGTGCGGGGACGGCCTGAGTCCCACAGCCTGGCCCTGGGGGGACAGGGCTGCTGTGCTCATGGAGACCCTGGCCCCAGCCCTGGACAGCAGGGCAGGGGTCCAAGAGGAGGCCGGAGGGAATGCTGGCCAGCGTCCTGCAGGTGCTCCCAGCCCCAGCTGGCCTGGATCTGCTGAGTCCGGGGCTTCAAAGGGCTGCAGGGCCCTTGGCTAGGGACAGGATGGTGGGTTGGGGATTCCCCTGCTCCCCCCACCCAGCTTTTCTCTTCTCCTGATCCCCTGCCCCTGGGAGGAGGCGTCTGCACAGCCCGCCTCAAGCCCCAGGCTCCTGCCTAGCCCTGAAACCCAGTGCCCTTGGCCCCGGGCCCACAGGACCTGCTGGGCTCTCCCTGGAGTCTCTGCCACATTCTGCATTGACCCCCGGCCACCTTCTGTGGCCCAGCGGTGTGCCCAGGCGGCGGTCATCCGGACGCACTTGCTGTCGGCTGGGCTGGCGGGTCTGCAGAGACCAAGTCCCGGCCGCCCTGAGCGGGCAGACCGGTCCTCCCGCGTGGACACGCTGCTGCCATCTGGCGGCCGCTGGGAGCACTGCCGCCTCCGCGAACGTGGGTGTGCAAATACCCTGGGTGCTCCTGCTTTCAGTTCTTTGTGATAAATACTCTCCCGTGGGGGTCTGGATCGCATGCTAGTTCTACTTTTTGTTTTTGAAGAAGCTCCATACTGTTTTGCTCCCTCTTCTCCACGGGCTCCAGTGCTGCTTCCCTTGCCTCTTTTTCCGGACAGTGGCCGTCCTGGGGCCTCTGGGGGGTCTCCCGCTGTGGCCCCCGGGGGGGGGGGCATCTCCCCGCCGACTACGGAGGGGGCGCCTCCTCCCATGTGCTTGCTGGCCACTTGCGAACCTTCTCTGGATACCTGTCTATTCGAGTCCTTTCAGCCTACTTATTTACTTTTTGTTTTTTCAATGACAGTTTACATCCAATATTATTTTACATCAGTTTTAAGATGTACAGCACTATTTATTCCTGCGCCATTATTTTCTGCCTTGATTTTAGGCTTGGTTCACATGGTTCTAAAAACACCCTGTACCTTCTTTATTGGGTTGCATTCAACATATGGATCAGTTTGGGGAGGAGGGTGGCCCCAGCCCTCCTTGGTCTCCCCTGCAGGCTCCTGGCTCAGTCTACCTCCCCCCAGCCCCCCACCGTGGCTCCAAGTACCACCCACACCTGCTCCCCTAGCTCTTTGCCAAACTCCCAAATGCTACTGGGCAGCTCACAGAACGTCCTCAGATCTCTCCATCCCTCCGGGTCAAACTCGGAGCCCCTGACCCCTGCACACCTGCCTGCCTGTCCCCCACTGACAGCAGGGGCTCCAGGTGGCCACTAGGTACCACCCTCACCACTCCCTCACCTGGGAGGAAAGCTGGGTCCTGGCTGGGGAAAGATGCAAAGAGAAAAAAGGACGTTTTTAGGCGTGGGTGAGGGGTCAGAGAAGTCAGCAGGCGGTGGAAGCCTGAGAAGGCAGAGGATGGAGCCTAGGGGGGGGAGGGGGGAACCCCCGGCTTCTGGGCCAGAGGCCACACTCCCCAGAAAGCCAGTGAGGGTGGAGGGGGTGGGGGGGCTCTGGGCCACTGACCCTGTCCTTGGGCCTGGGGAGCGAACCGGCAGTACCCAGCCGAAATACCCAGCCTGACCCCCTTCCCTGTTCTGGCCTCACCCATCACAGCCCAGGGCCTCCGGCTGGACTCCCGGCGCTTCCCAGGGACCGGCGCTCCCAGAGCTCTCTCACAGTAGGCCCCGAGCAGGCCTCGGCCGTCTCCAAGCTCTCCGGAGGCGCCACACCAGTCCTTGGAATGAAGTCCAAACTCCTTGATCACCTGGTACAGGCCCCTCCCCGTCCCGCCACCTCCACCCCTGCGCCCCCAGCGCTCTGGGTTCCCGCCATCAGTCCCGCCCACCGCCTGGCACGCCGCATGCCCTCTCCCGGCCTCCCCACTGCAGGTGGGTGTCCCCACTCCAGGGTGCTCCCCCCAGGCCAGGGCCTGGTCCCAGGGCACAGCCGGGGACGCCGGCGGATCGTGGAGTGTGGCCGGGACACTGCGGCCGGCCGGGTGCAGGGCAGGGCGGACACTGCCCTCCGGTCTCCCCGGCCAGCGCCCTCCGCACCCGGCCTTCCACCTTCGCCGCTCGCCCCCGCGCCTCCCCCAGTCCGTCCCCAGCGGCGGGGCGTCCCTCGGCCTGGCGTCTCTCCCACCGCCCCGCCCCCAGCCGTCACCCCCTCCCCGCGCCCGCCCAGCGGACTCACCCCGGGAGCGGCGAGCACCTGCGGGTGCACCCCTCGACAGGGTCGGGCCCACCGGAGACGCGAAGGTAGGACCATGGTCATCGCCCCAGATCCCCAGCTCCGAGCCCCCAGTCCAGCCTGGGACGCCGGGGCCAGCGGGGTGGCGCGGGAGGAAGGGTCGCGGCGGGGCAGCCCCAGGGGTCCGGCCTCCTTTCCTCTCCATCCTCCTTTGGGCGGCGGGACCAAAGGTTAGGGGCCAGGGGCACGGCGCAGGGCCCGGACGCGGGGCAGCTGGACACCAGGGGTCCGGCCGGTGCGTTGGGGCGGGTCCCAGCCACGACACGAGCCGGCGCAGGCCGGTCTGCGGGCGGGGAGCGAGGGGCCGGCTGCCGCGCCGGGGGCGGAGGCCGCGCTCACCTGGCGCCGCGCCCGCCCTAACCTGAATTTCCGGGGGCGGGGCCAGACTGGGGGCGGGGCGGGGGCGGGCCCGGCCGCGAGGGCGGGGCGGGGCGGGAGCCCGCAGACGTCAGGGACCCGCGGCGGGAGGCCGCCGCTCTGCCCGGGGCTCGGCCGGGGCTCCGCGCGCGTGCGGGCCGCGCCGGGCAGGTCCTAGGCGGCGGCCCGGCCCAGCGCTCGCCGGCCGGACTGGAGGGCCGGGGCTGAGGCGCAGGTAAGACGCCCGTCCTCGCCCGCGGCGGCCGGGCCTCGGTCGTCCGCACCTGTGCGCCTGCGGCGCCGCGCGGGCAGGGGGCCTGGGCGGGGAGCGGGGTCTCTGCCGGGCCGGACAAAGGCCCGGGACGGCGGCGGCCGGCGCACCTGGCCAGGCCGAGCCCGGGGCTGCGGAGGCGGCCAGGTCTGCGCCAGGCTGGGCGGGGCCGCTGGTCGCGCGTCTACGCGGCCTGGGAGGGGGCGCGGGCCCGGCTCCGGCTCTGCCGAGGCCGCCGGGCGAGCGCTGATTCAGGGGCAGGCGCGCTCCCTCCCACTCCGGCCCCGCTGCCTCCGGCCGCCTCCCGGCCTGGTCTCTTTGCTCCCGCGGTCCCTCCCTCCGGGTTCCTCCTCTTCCTCCCAGTCTCCCGATTCCCTGCGCCGCCGCCGTCTCCGCTGTCCCCGGCCTCCGTTCGGTCTGCTCTTTTCAGCCGCCCGCCCGGCCCCGCCCGGCCGCGGCTCCCATCCCTTCTCTTTCCCAATCCCGCGGCTTCCAGAGCCGGCTTCCACCTCCTGGCGGATGGTTCTCGCGGCTGGGGAGCGAAGGGACAAGTTTGGGGTGTTGATTATTCTCCCTCCTAGCAACGATGGCTGCCCAGCCCCCGACCCGCGGCCGGCTGTCAGGGAGCCTCTATGGCTTCCAGGCATTGGCCTTTCAGGACCGGCTGGCGGTGGCAGGGCGTCCTGGCTTTCAGGCAGCGTGACCGGGCTCCAGGGGGTTGGCCCTTTGCCTGAGGCTCTGGGTGGGGTCTCCCTGTCTGCCCCTGGTTGGGAGCAGCCGCAGGTGATGGCCAAGTGCAGGCCCTGACCAGGAGGAGTCAGGGGGCTGGGGACTGGGGGCTGGGGCTGGACAGGGCTGGAAAATACAGTGGTGGGGTGGCGGCTTTCCAGGAGAGAGCCCCGTGGTCCCCGCTGAGGGGCTGTGGGAGCCCCAAGCACAGCAGTGGCATGGAAGGGCCTGCGCCTCCATCTCCAGGTCAGACCCTGAGTGGACCTGAGGAAGGGCGGGGGCCCAGGGTGAAGGGACTCTGACCAGGCAGAACTGCCTTCTTCTGGGGTGGAGTGTTCTCTCTCTTCCCACCTGCCTGTCCCAGGTGACATGAGGGTACGCATGGTCACATGGGCCCTCGCAGACGGGCGGGCCTGGGGAGCCCCCCACCTGGTGCCAGCACCTGCCGGTCCCCTGGTTACTGGCTCAGCTCTCAACGAGTCTCCTGCCTGTTCTGCACACGGAGTCGGTCAGGATGTGGGACCCTGCGGCTGGCCTCGCGGGCTCCCAGAGGTCCTGCCCTCAGACTGGGCCTCCGGGGACGCCCCTCCGGCTCCAGGGCCAGCCATGGACCCCCAGGGCTGGGGGGCTGAGTGTCTGGGCCTGGGTGCCCCTGCCACGCTCACACACCCCCTTCTGCCCACTTCTGCGTGGCTCGTATTGCCGCCTTCCAGACCACCCCCCTCTGAGGGGCCCTGTTTGTGTCCTCCTTGTCCTCGTCCTTTGAGGGAAGCCCCAGGGCACAGCTCAGCTCACCTCGTGTGCGTGCATGTGCAGTGTGTATGTGTGCAGAGCATGTGCTGGGTGCCCTTCATGTGTGGTGTGTGGACCCTGCATGTGCAGTGTGCACGTGTGCCCTGTGTGTGCATGTGCAGTGTGCATGTGTGCCCTGTGCGTGCAGAGGACAGTGGTCGGGACCCCTGAGGGTGGTGCTCAGGGTGAGGGTGGGGCCCTGTGCACAGGGTGTTGCACAGGCACGTCCACGAGTCTGGAGCCTGTGCTGGGTGGTGACACAGCTCTGCCACCATCACAAGTGCACAGTGACAGCATGTAGCCGTCACTACCCCAGGGCCTGGTCTCAGGTGACACCAGCTCTGGTCCTACTTCAGGTGGCTGGCACTGGGCCCCTCAAGCCACCTTTGGCCCCCTGCTGTCCTGACCACCTCAGCCCTCAGGCCTCCTTGGCTGATGCCCCCAGGGCCTTGGGCACCAAAGCGCTGCTTCCCTCCTGGGCACTGGAGAGGCCGTCCCCGGCTGTGGCTGCTGCTGCCACCCTGGCCTGGGGGCCTCAGCAGGATGGTCACAGCCGCTGCGGACGAACGTCCAGTCTCCTCTCCGTGGGGGAGTATAGGGTGGCCAGGGCCACCCATCTCCAGCTGCCCCCCAGCCCCTGTACCCGGGGCTGTCCTGGACTGTCCAGCTGGGGCAGCAGAGCCTCTGGTTCCGAGTGTGTGTCCGGGGCAGGCGTGGTGCCGTGGGCCTGGCCCCAAGGGGACCCTGGCTATGGGAACTGCCCCCAGTCAGGTCTCAGGGATGCAGGCGCTATGGTCACTGGCCCCACAGACTTCACCCCTCCTGCGCCCACGAGAGAGGAGAAGGGCTGTGGGGGCCTAGGGCATTGGGGGACCTGGATACCTTAGCTGGGGAGGGGCCCACGTGGGACAGACACACTCAGGGAAGGATGGGTGTCCGGGTGTGCCTGGAGCCCAGTGTTTCTAGGAGGTGCTGCGGGGGTGGGGTGGGGAAGGTGCTGGAACCTCAGGGGGCCAGCCAGGCAGGGTCGCCCACTCTGACAGCCCTTTCACCCGCAGGCCTGCCGGGCCTCCCCAGCGCCAAGATGAGCGTCACCTCCTGGTTCCTGGTGAGCAGCAGCGGCACCCGCCACCGGCTGCCACGGGAGCTCATCTTCGTGGGGCGCGATGAGTGTGAGCTCATGCTGCAGGTGAGCACAGGCACCTCCGGGGCCAAGAGGGCGGGGCTGGGGCCACCCGTTTGTGGCTGGACACCAGCTGAGGAGGCTGACGTGGCCACCTGGGCCCACAGCGGGCCCTGCGGCCTCAGGTGGGTATGTGCAGGCCCCAGTGGGTGCTCCAGGTGCTCAGGCTTCCGTCAGGTGCTCAAGGCATGGGGAGGGGCACCTTCGGAAGGTGTTGGAGAGGGACCTGCTCACGTCCTTGCTGTGCGGGAGGCGCCCCCGGGCTGGGCATCTGGCTGTTGGGCCAGCCCAGGAGCTGGTGCCTCTTCCAGGTGCCCGGGGAGGTGGCGGTTTGTCAGGCACGAGAGGCTGACTCCTGGCAGTCAGCTGGGCATGGGGCCCTGGGCAATCAGAACTTCCTCTCTGGTCAGGGTTTCAGAGTCCAAGTTTAGTCTCCATGGGGCTCATGTGTCTAACTGTTTGGGAGCGGGATGGGCAGGATTGGGGGCAGGGGGGGTGGGGGCTGATGCTGTGGGGTCCGCCGTTGCCTGGGTGTCCTTTTCTCTGCTGTCCTGGTGGACTGAATGAGCTTCCTGCAGCCCTGATGGGGCCTGTTGGGGCCCTGGGTGAGGGCGCCTGCAGGTCGGGGGGGGGCCTTGGAGCTTCCTCCTGCTGCCCTCCCCACTGCTGGCTCCAAACACGCAGGTCTGCACGTGCAGGGCGTGCAGACACACACTGGGTGTGCACACATGCACACACATGGTTGCACGTGCCTGCGCGTGTGCCCGTGTGTGTGCCCTTGTGTGTGTGGTGGGGCATCCTCTCGGCCCCTGCTTGCTCACGCCCTACCCGGAAGCGGTGCTGCCCAGGCGGCCGGGACCCGGCGCGCTCCATGGTCGGTCAGCGGCTGGGCTGTGCCGGCTGAGCTGGCAGGAGGGCGTGCCGAGCCCTGGGCTCGGGCTGCTGCCGGCCACCGCGGCCCAGGCGGGGCTCCCCCCAAGGAGGGCGGCCGGCCAGGATTTTGGAAGCACATCTTTTTTCCGTTTTACAGACAGACCTTTTTTTAAAAAAAAAAATAAACCCACGTGTTGGAGCGTAAGGCTGTTTTGTGAGCCTGTTTTCACAGCTGCCCCTCTTCCAGCGCCGCAGGCCCTCCCCGCGTGGCTGGTCCTTGTCATGCGCAGGCCCCAGGCCCAGGGGCTGCCAGCCTCGTAGCCTCGTAGCCCGGGGCCCCTTCCTGCGCTTTCCCTGGGAGCCCAGGTGCTCCTGAGGCCTGGGGTGGGGCTGGGCGGGAGCTGGCCCTGGGGACAAAGCCCTGGCCAGGAGCGGACAGGGCACCCTGGCTTTGGGTACGAATCGGGGGGTGGGCTGTGCCCAGTCCAAGGTGGGTGGCTGGGTGGTGAGGGCAGGGTGGGGCATCTTGCTGGGAGAAGGGAGGTGGGTGTGGGGAGAGCGGCGGGTCCTGGGCAGGGACCCAGGCTCAGCTGTGGGCCTGGAACCTCCTGAGCCTGCAGAGGCGGCGGGCTAGCTGGGCCTCGTGCAGACAAGGGGGCTCGGAGAGGCCTCGGGGCCAGTGGCTCATGGGACGAGGTTTGACCTTTCCCCTCAGGCAGTTTCAGAAGAGTGGCAGGCAGGGCCAGATGGGGGCCGGGAGGACAGGAGAGAGGGGGCTGCAGGGACAACACAGTGTCCAGGTGAGGAGCAGGACCAGGGGGCACTGGTGCCTAGGCAGTGGGAGCTGGGCTGGCGATGTTTCTGGAGGAAGGTGGGGGGTCTGGGGGCCTTGAGGAAGAGTGGGGTATGGCCGGGCAGGGTGTGAGCCGCCTAGGGGCCAGAAGGGTTGTGGGGGAGCCGGTAGCCTTCAGCCTGGGGAGGGAGGGCCTTCGCTCAGGCTGGAGAGGACGCCCCATGTCCCCTCCAGGGGCCTCCGTGCCAGGGGACAGAGCGTTCCCGCTGCCCATCCCTGTTCACTGAAGGCCGACCGCCTCCCACCTCGCCCTGGCTCTGAGGGACGTGCAGCCCCGCAGCCCACCCGCCCCCTGGGTGCCCTTCTCGGCCAACGTCCCTGAGAGGGCAGGGCCCGGCCCCCAGGCCTCGGGGCTCGCTTTCCTGACACAGTGGGTCCCTTCAGTCCAGTGGCATCTGTGTGCCGCGCAGGGCTGAAGCAGGCAGCTGGCCTGTACCCGGGAAGGGGTGAGCCCGGTCCTCCTGGCCACTGGGCTGGACTCTAAGGACCCTGGTGCTTGACCCCAGGGCTGCCCAGAGGAGCAGTTGCCTGGCTCGAGGTGGGGTGATCCCAAGAGGCGCTGGTTCTGGTCCGCTCCACCCCACGGCTGGGTCCAGTCAAGCTCTTGCCCTGCCCCACTGGCCGGGAATGAGGCCCCGGGGGAGGGTGCAGGGTCACAGACATGCTGGGTTGGGGAGGCCCAGGCCAAGGCCAGTGGGAGGGTCACGAGGGCCAGCTTCTGGGGGAGGTGAGCACCCAGCGACCGGCAGAGGGACGGAACAAGGAGTCCTGTGGAGGAGGAGGCGGCACTTGACGTCCAGGGTTCAGGAGCTTCCGTGGCCGGGACAGGGTCGTGGGACTCAGGGCCGCAGACCCGCTGCTTTGGGAGGCCGGCAGATGGGCTCCAGGAGCTGCCCTGGGCTCAGGTGGGCAATTCTGGGGGGCGGCTCAGGGGGCCTGTGTGTCCTGGGCGTCTGGCCGGCCTGCAGACAGCCCTCCACTCTCGGTCACCCTGCTCCCTTCCGAGGGTCTGTGGCAGGGTGACGTGTGGGCCCCGTACCTGCTTCTCTCCACAGCGCCATCGCTCTGACTCCAGAACCAGCTGCGGTGCGGAGGCCCAGCTCAGGCCCAGGGCCACGGCCTCGGCCGAACCCGCTGGGCTCTCCAGGGCGGGCCCAGCACCCCTGCCATACTGTGTGACCTCGGGTGGGGGCGGGGCGGGGCCAGAGCCCGTGTCTGCCGCCACCTCGCCACCGCCCCGGGCCCTGCACCTGGTCTCTGGGTGAGGAAGGACGCCCTACTCCGGGGGCTTCCAGCCCTTGGGAGGGTGCTGGGGCCTCCCCAGAAACTGGCCCTTGCAGGCCGGTGCCCAAGGGGCTCAGCAGGTGGAGTGGATGAGAGACACCGTCTGAGGGGGTAGCTGGCCCCCCAGGGAGGACGGGTCTGGGCGTGCACACCTGTGAGAACTAAGCCTCACGCTGTGGTGCGTGGGGACTCAGGGGGCGGGACGCGGTTGCCACCCCCAACACTGGGGCTCCAGCTGAGCGGCGTGGCCGGGGGACGGGCAGCTCCTTGCTGAGACCACCGGCCTCTCGGCCAGGTGAGGCCTGGCAGTGCCCGGGTGAGTGGAAGTCACCCCAGGACCCTGTCCCTGCCTCTGTCCCCGAGCCCTGGCAGTGGAGGCCGGGGAGGCTTAGCTGTGGCCCTCCCGCTTTTCCGAGTGTGGGAGTCGGTGGCCGTCCCTGGGGGGGGTCTGGGGAATAGGTGGCTGGGGCAGTGTTGGCAGCTCTCAGGTGGGAGGTGCCTCTGTGTGTGTGTGCACCTGTGTGTGCAAGTGGGGTGGCGGGCACGCTCGGGGTGTGTGTGAGTCCTGTGCGGGAGCACGGAGTTGGTAGGGTCTGAGACGCAGCTCCCACGAGAGTGTGCATGTGTCCATCACTTGGACAGGTTGTGTGGGCCCCCGTGGGGCTGGCTGGGCAGGCCAGGGGGTGGGGAGGCCTCTCCCTGAGCCCCGCACCCCAGCCCTTTGATCCTCCGCTGGGCTGCCCCACCCGCCCTGGGGTGTGAACATCGTTCCCAGGTGACCAGCGGGTTCCCAGCCAGGAGCAGCCTCCAGGATGGGAGGGGCCCCGGCCGGGGCATCTGGGCAAAGCCCAGGCCTGGCCAGGCTCTGTGGGACGCACACCCACTGAAGGTGTGAGCGTGTGCGTGGGAGCTTACGGTCTCTGTGTGCAGGGTGGTGTTGGTGTTCTGGTGGGGGACGGCGGGGGCTCCTGCAGGGGCACCCCCTCCTGGGAAGGCCACCTGAGAGGCGCCCGTGCCGCCCCCCCAGTCTCGCAGTGTAGACAAGCAGCATGCGGTCATCAACTACGACCGGGACCGGGACGAGCACTGGGTGAAGGACCTGGGCAGCTTGAACGGGGTGAGTGCGCCCCGCCTCTCTCCACGCCCCTCCCTCTGTGCTGGCCTCACCCTGCAGTCTCTCTGGGGCCCCACTCTCTCCAAGACCACACGTCTCAGCTGTGGCCCACTGGCCCCTCCAGGGCCTGTCCCTGGGTGAGCACACAGCCACCTCCAGGTGTGAAGGCCACGGGGCCTCCCCAGGAGGACCCCCACTGGGCAGGGCCCCCCCCGTGGGGCGGAGCCACTCTGGCGGGGGAGGGGCTGGCCCCTCAGGTGGGCAGGGGGGCACTGAGACCAGCTGCAAGCTGGGAAACGGGGCTCCTGAGATGGACAGGCTGGGCTAGGGCCCCTTTCCTGGGGGGATGTGGCCTCTTGTGAGTTGGGGTGTTGGGGACAGGGAGGCGACCAAGAGGAAGGCCCTGGCTGCCGGCTCTGGGCTGGCGTCAAACGAGAGGAGCCCGGGGTCTGGGTGGGCACGGGGCGGGGCGGGCGGGGGCTCTGCAGGGCCCAGGGCCCGTCGTCTGTGCTGCGCTGGCCTCGGCTTCAGTAAGGAAACAAGGCCACTGGCCTCCATGCACTTCTGCTGGGTCCGAGGAGGGCCCTTCCCACCCCTCTGGTGCCACCCTGAGCTGGGGCCCGGGGGAGCCTCGGTCTGGCCCTCCCTCCACAGCTGCCCTGGGGGTCTGCCCCGGAGCCCCTGCCCCCCGAAGTGGGATTCGAGGAGGCTGGCACTGGCCACCTGAATGAGGGGGCTTCAAGAGGGCCTGGGGTGCTGGCCCGGTCCCTGCCCCTCCTCCCAAACCCCAGGGGCAGACTCCTTGGAGGCCCGTGATGCCCACAGAGCCAGGGCCCCGCCCACCTGTCTGACACCAGGCCCAGGCCAGCAGGGGGGGCAGCTCCGCGGCACCTGCAGCTGTCCCTGCGCCAAGCCTGTGGTCCTGCGGCCTCCTTGGGCCCGAGGACCCCTGCTTGCCGTGAATGCGTCCAGAACCGCGCTCACCCTGGTTGCAGCCCTTTCCCAGGCCCGCCGTGCCCACCTCTCGGGTCACTGCTGCCACCCTCGGTGTCTGCGTGGCAAACCCTGCCTGGACACCTGCCTGGGAGCCACCCTCCCTCTGGGCCCGAGACCCTCTGTCCTGTGAGGAGCCCTGCAGGTCCCTCGGGCCTTTCACCAGACCCTGGCACGGTTGCCAGGCTGGGGGCTCCCTGGCCTGTCCTGGAGACACTCAGACCTGCCGGGTCCTGCACTCACCTGGGTGCAGGGTGGTGCTCGGTGGCTCCTGCTGGAGGGAAGAGGGTGTTCGGGGACTGGCTTTCTGACACCATGCGCGCCAGTGTTGGGGCGTAGCAGATGGCGGGCACAGCCTGACCAACTCCCCTTGGCCATGGGGGCTGCGTAGGGGGCTGCGTAGGGCCAGCAGGAGCCCCTGTGGACAAGAGAAAGGGTCTCGTTCACAACAGGGTCCAAGGACTTTCTGCTCAAGGGGCTCCCTCAGTTCCCGGGCACTGGGTGAGGCCAGTCCTTCAGCCGCACCTGTCCCTTCCCGGCCCGGGGTGGGGTGCACGTGTGTCGAGGGACAGGGCCCGCCACCGTCGCTGAGCCCGGCCCGCCTCCTCTGCAGACCTTCGTGAACGAGGTGCGCATCCCGGACCAGAAGTACGTGACGCTGAAGCTCAACGACGTCGTCCGCTTCGGCTACGATATCCTTTCCTCTGCCCCCTCCTCCGCCTCCGCCCTCTGCCCCCCGAGGCCACCGTCCCCCCAGCGGGAGCGGCCGGGGCCTCGGTGGCCACAGGGGGTTGGAGGGCAGCGAGGACGAACCCCAACTGCCCTCTGTGCTGCCCAGTCCCCAAGTCCAGGCCCTGCCGGGCACCCGCGGCCGGCCCGCTGGCCCGAGCCACACGGCTCAGTGAGGGAACAGGCGAGCCGTCCCCAGAGCCTGGAGTCCCGTGTGGCCCGGGGGCTGCTAGGCGTGGCGTTCTGTGCCCAGAACACGAGTGAGCGGGGCGGCGCCTCTACCCTGGGCAGCTGGGGCTGCATGCCCGACGGGAGCGCGTGCTGTCCTCAGCTGCTGGCAGGTGGTCCAGGAGGTGACACGGCCTCTGGGGCCCTGCCTGGCCTGCCTGCCACGCCCTGGGCCGAGTGCTGGGTGGAGGGGCGCCCGGAGCCCTGGGCATCTTCGCGCTGTGACCTGGAGGGCCTCTGCCCAGCGGGGACACATGCCAGGCGCATGGGTGCTTGCAGGCGTGTGCGCTCGGGGGACAGCACCGTCCCTGTGCACATCCTCCTGGGACGCTCTTTGCCTGGGAGGGACCCTTGTGTCCCCTGCGCCTGAGGCTGCTGGCCACCCCCTACTCTGCCCTCCTTGACTGGCCGCCACATCCCAACATGTATGTGCTGGAGCGTGTGCAGCACCGCCTGCCCGAGGAGGCGCTCAGGGTCAGTGCCGGCCGTCCCCCGAGGGGCCCCGCCCGGTGTCCCTCTGCCCCGCAGCCCTCCCCGCCCTGGCAGCCTCGGCCTGGCTGTGCAGCCGCAGCCGGCCCGGCCTGCTCAGCAGGCTCTCCCAGTCTGGCACGTCGGGGGCCGCTGTCCCCCCCAGGCTGGTGCGGCCACCGCGATGGGTGTGGCCCGTGGGCGTGGTCAGCCCGCCAGGCTGCGCCCTGCGGCTTCTGTACCCCGAGGACCTGATCGGGCCACCGTGGGTGGGCGGCCAGGAACAGGCGGGGGGGGGTGTTCGAGGCTGGCAGTCGGGTTTGAGAGTCCCAGGTGGGGGCAGCGGCAAGTGGGCCGTCACGAAGCACACACTTGGGGGCCTGTCCGGAGCTCTGGCCAGGAGCCCTGCGTCGGGGGCGGGGGAGACCGGCCTCAGCTCCTTTCCCGAATGAGCCTCCGGGCCCACGAGGGGCACGGTCACTGTGAGGCTGGCTCTGACCGCTGCGGAGCTCAGCCAGGCGGGGCCCTGGCTAGCACAGACACGTACCCACAGCTGCATGCACACTTGTGTGCACATGTAGACACACTTGTGCACATGCATGGGCACACATGAACACACACACCTGCGATCTGCTCAGACAGCCCACCCCTCCCCACACACAGCCTCCGAGCCCCTGACCCCGTACCCTGGGCCCGTCCTGCCCCCTCCGATGGGGCCCGGGGGCGGCCCCTCCCTTCTGCTGTTGCTGCCTGCCCCCCTTCCTCCGCACCAGCGGGCCCAGCTCCCTCCTGGGAGCTCTGTGGTCCTGAGGGCCCCTCCCCGGGCGGGGTGTCCTCCCTTGGCGGCCGGCGGCCCCTCACTCCCGCCTGCCACCCGCAGCACGAGAAGTACACCAGCCAGCTGCAGGTGAGCATCCGGGGCACAGCCCCCAGGAGGGGGGAGGCGCTGCCGGAGCCCGCACCCTACTGCGAGTCCTCGAACCCCAGGCCGGAGCGGGACCGGAGGCCCGGAGCAGGTACAGTGGCACTTCCATGGGGCTGGGGGTTCACACACACCTCCCCATAGGCCCCCCGATTCACCTCCCTTGGGAGTAGGCCTTTTGCCCCCACACAACCCCTCGTACCCCCTCAGCCTCATGGGCTCACATCCCCTGGCAGCAGCCACAGAACAGCCTGCTCATACGCCAGCTCAGGTGCCCGTGAACACGCCCAGCCCCGCACACCTGCAGCCAGCAGACACACCCTGCATTCCTGCATCCGTGTGCATGTACCCGCCTGTGCACACCCCACCTTTGCATCCAGTGTGGCCCAGTCAGACAGGTGGTTCTCAGCCTCCAGGGTCACCTGCGAGTGGCCTGAACCCTGGCAGAGCCCTGGTGAGAGGGGGCTATGGCTGGGGCTCACCGTCAGGCAGGCTCCGGAGGCAGAGGCCCTGGGCCAGGCCTGCAGGGATTGCCTCCCGCAGGGTGAGCGCTAGGATAGTGTTTCCCCCGGCAGCCGCCCGACAGGGAGGCCCCGGTGGGGACCAGGGAGGGAAGTCTCAGTCATCAGTGTGGACACGGCTCGGATACGTGGGTGGGTGGCCGGGTCCTGGGTGCTGACGCCAGGTCGCCCCCAGACCCCAGCCTCCCGCAGCTCTGGGTCTCCCCTGCTGCCCGGGTTGGGGCCATGGTGACCCGGAGTCCCGTGCTCCTCCACAGAGACGGCGGCCTACCGCACACCCCTGTACGGGCAGCCCTCCTGGTGGGGAGAGGACGACGGCGGCGGCCCGCCCGAGGACCGGCACCAGGAGGGGACATACCCAGGTCGGCCCCGAGGCCCACCCGTCCAGGGGTGGGCTGCCCTGGAGCTGCCTGCGCTGGGCAGACGGGGCAGATGGTCCCAGCGGAGGGGGTGGGGGAGGGGGCTGCTCCTCACCCCAACCTGAGGACCTGTCCCCCCACCTCCCAGAGCGGCCCAAGGAGCTGGCACCGCAGGACGGGGACCTCGCGGGGACGCCGGCCAGCTTCCGGGCCCCCACGGAGCCTCAGGGCTTCTCCTTCCGCCGGGAGCCCAGCTACTTCGAGATCCCCACGAAGGAGGCCCTGCAGCCAGCGCGGCCCCCCGAGGCGCCGGTCCCCGAGGCGCCCACCGAGGAGGTGGAGCCGGGTGGGGCGGCGCCCGTGGTGCAGAGCCACGCTTCCTTCACCATCGAGTTTGACGATGGCAGCCCCGGCAAGGTGAAGATCAAGGACCACGTCACCAAGTTCTCCCTGCGCCAGCGGCAGCCCCCCGGCAAGGCCGCGCCCGTGGAGGTGGTCTCCGCGGAGACCAAGGTGGCTGACTGGCTGGTGCAGAACGACCCCAGCCTGCTGCGCCGGGCAGGCCCCGGGGACGACCGCCACAGCACCAAGAGCGACCTGCCCGTCCACACCCGCACCCTGAAAGGCGAGTGCCCGGCAGGCCCTCCCCGGGGAACCCCAGTTGGTGTGACCGACTGCGGCCTTTCGGTTCACTGCCGGAGACCGGCCTGGCCCTGAGAGGCCGCTGCTGGTGCTGGTCTCAGTCCTGCGTGCTGGGCTCCGTGTGCACTGCGGCCGTTGTGATGGCTGTGGCTGTGTGTGTTGGCCCCCCTTGGCCTGATGAGTTTGGGTCCCCACCCCCAGGCCACAAACACGAGGATGGCACTCAGAGCGACTCGGAGAACCCGGTGGCCAAGGCGGCGGCAGCGGCGGCAGCGGCAGGGACCACGTCCTCTGGGGTCCCTGCGGAGAATGGGGAGCAGGTGCGGCTGCAGAGGCAGATCAAGCGGGACCCCCAGGACCTGCTTCACAACCAGCAGGCCTTTGTCATCGAGTTCTTTGACGAGGACACGCCCCGCAAGAGGCGCTCCCAGTCCTTCACCCACGCCCCCCCTGGGGACCCCAAGGCCGACCGGCGCAGAGGCCCCGGGCCCGCCGACAGGGACCGCACAGGCGCCCCGCCCCGGGGCGCAGGCAGCAGCTCCGGGCCCCAGCGGGCCAGCTCGCTCAAGCGGGAGAAGACGGAGGAGCGGCCGGCTGGCCCCTCGCCCCCCACACGGGCCGCCACCCGCCCCTTCGGCAGCGTGGGGCGCCGGTCCCGCCTGGCCCAGGACTTCGTGGCCCAGTGCCTGCGGGAGGGCTCCCCAGCCGGGAGGCCTGGCCTTGAGAAGGTGCCCCCCACACTGCCCGCCCCCCTGACGCCCCGTGGGGCCAGTCCCGTGGCCCCCTCGCCCCCACCGGCACCGCCCGCGGACCCCCAGCTGACCAAGGCCCGCAAGCAGGAGGAGGACGACAGCCTGAGTGACGCGGGGACCTACACCATCGAGACCGAGGCGCAGGACCCGGAGGTGGAGGAGGCCCGCAGGATGATCGACGAGGTGCCGTGCCCCTGAGCTCCCCGGAGCCCGGTGGGGCGTGTCTGGGGGGGCGGTGGCTCTGACCGGCGGCCACCCTCTCTCCTGGCAGGTGTTTGGCGTATTCGAGTCCCCCGAACTCTCCAGGGCCTCCTCGGCCGTGTTTCGCCCAGTCATCAGAGGGGACCCAGATGAGTCGCCTGCCTCCCAGCCCCTGGGTGTGGCGGCCCAGGCGGAGCTCCAGGTACACCGCCCCCCCAAAGCGCCCAACAGCGCCCCCCAGCCCATCACGGGGCCCCCTCCACTCTCACCCAGAGGCCCTGCTTCTGCCTGGAGCTGGACCCCCACCCAGCACGAGGCCGGGCCGACGCAGGCAGCTGGCTGTGTGTGGAGGGCTCGGCAGGACCCAAGGCCCTGAGACACACCGGGCGCTGGGCGTTTCGCTCCCCGCAGGCAAGGCTGGGCCGAGCTGCTGCTGCTGCTCACCCCTGAGCCACAGAACCGGGCTCGGGTATAGATGGACCCCTTGCTGGGGTCCCACAGGCCCTGGTGAGGCACCGGGGCCTCCTGGCTGCTGGTGCAGGGAGCAGGCAGAAGGCCTGGCTCCCGTGTGTGGGGGCTTCCTGCGACACCCCCCTCTGCCTCCTCCCTCTCCTGCCTCCTCCCTGCAGGGCCTTCCAGTGCCGGGCTCTCCCGGCGGCCAGAAGTGGGCGTCCCGCTGGGCAAGTCTGGCCGACAGCTACTCAGACCCGGGCCTGGCAGGTAAGTGGCCCCAGGGCTGTGGCAAGTAGCAGGGGTCGGCCAGGTTGGCCTCAGGTTGCAGACCACCGGCAGGGCGGTGGGCTCACACCCGGTCAGGCAGCCACGCCTGCAGCAGGGTCAGCCTCCTGTGCCTGCTGGCTGGTGGCCACTTGGACAGACTGCCCTTGTCTTCACAGAGGACGGCCCGGGGCACAGAGCAGGAGACCTGGAGTGCGCCCTGCCTGCGCGCCAGCGGCGGCTGCTCCCACAGCTGCCCAGCGATCGGGCAGACGGCCCCGCTGGCCCTGAGGCCGCCCGGAGGAGCGGGCCCGGGCCCCCAGAGCCGGATGGTGAGCTGGCCAGCCACCTCTTGAACCAGGAGGACTTGGAGCCTGACAGCCTCAGCGATGCCAGCGGGTCCGACGGGGGACGGGGCCCGGAGCCCCGCAGGGGCCCCCCGGAGGGGCTGGCATGGCTGAGGGGCCTGCGCTCACCGAGGGACGCTGGGGAGCTGGCCCCCAAGTCCGTCCTCACCGGGGACCAGGACAGGGCGGCCGCCTTTCCCCGGAGAACGTCTGTGGCTCCACAGGAGGTGGAGGGCCCAGGGCCCGCAGCCCAGCCCAGCCCTCTGTTGAGGGACAACGTCCCCACCAGCACGGGCTGCAGGAGGGCCGCCCAACTGCAGACACGGCCGTCCCCAGAGCCCGAGGGCCCCACCCAGGCCAAGGAGGCTGACGCCTTCATCCGGCAGGAGAGCTTCACCAAGGAGCCCGCCAGTGGCCCCCCGGCACCCGGCCAGCTCCCGAGCATCTCCAGCCACCCGCTGCTGCGGGACCTGGCCGCGGCCCGGGCCTCACGCGCAGCCCTGCCCCCCCAGGACACCCAGCTGATTCTGAAGGAGACCGAGACGGCCCTGGCGGCCCTGGAGGCCCGCCTGCTGTCTCCATCTGCCGCCGAGGCCCGGGGGCCGCCCGAGGACTCCCTGTCTGGGGACTCGGATGTGGACAGCGCCAGCACCGTCAGCCTGCTCAGTGGCAAGAACGGGGCCAGCCCCAGGAGCTCCCAGCTGGCCGGGCTGCAGGAGAAGACGCCGTCCCCGCCGGCAGTGCAGGACCTGGGGGGCGTGGCCCTGGGCGGCCCGCGGGAGCGGCTCTCGGAAAAGCAGCGCCACACAGTGGGCCCGACGGACGCCGGCCGAGGAGAGCCCACACGGCACCTGGCTGTGCGCCGCGGCCAGGGCTCCCTGGACTGGCCCGACCAGGAACGAGGCTCCGGTCTTGCCCACCCGCCTGGCTCAGACACGGTCGCCTCCGACCACGAGAACCACTCGGCCACTGGGACGGGGCGGCTGGGGTCTCGCCGGAAACCCACCGCGCCCCCGCCATCCCCGGCTGCCCGGGAAGAGCAGAGCCGGGTGTCAGCCAGTGCCCAGAAGGTGCAGCAGGCCCTGACCCGCTCCAACAGTCTGTCCACCCCTCGGCCCACGCGGGCCTCCCGGCTGAGGCGGGCCCGGCTTGGGGATGCTTCGGACACGGAGGCCATGGACAGTGAGCGGGGACCCCCAGCTAACCCCGAGCCAGTGGGGCGTCCGGCGTCTGAGCAGGCCAAGAAGCTGTCGCGCCTGGACATCCTGGCCATGCCCCGGAAGCGGGCAGGTTCCTTCACAGGGCCCAGCGACTCTGAGGCGGCACCCGCCCGCCCCGGCTCCTGTGGCCGCAGCGTCGAGTGGTCCTGCGCTGGCCGCAAGCCCACCAGGGCTGAGGCTCAGGCTGCTGCACGGAAGACCCCCACCCCGGCCACGGCCCCCCGCCAGCCCTTCAGCAGGGCCCGCCCAGGCAGCGCCCGGTACTCCTCACCCAGTGAGTGGGGGAGCGGGCGGGCAGTGGGTCTGCAGCTTCAGGGGTCGCAGGCTGGCCGGGGACGGGCCGGTCGCCACAGGTGTGCACAGGCCGCAGCCTCCCACGGTCCCCAGGCTGTCCTAGTGTGAGAGCTTCTGTTCCCCGGGCCCCGCCCCCCCCCCCCCCCCCCCCCCCCCCCCGTTCCCTGAAGTCTGGACTGGAGGCCGGGACCCTGATGGTGTGTGAGGCGTGCGTGCAGGCCGAGCCGTCCCTGGGGCGCAGGGACCTGGGGGCCCTGCCCGCCCCCTGCGGGTGTGCACCTCCATCCTGTGAGCCTGCAGCCTGTGGCCGGAGGCCAGCTCTGTCCGTCCCCCCACCCCACAAGTGTCACCTGCAGCCTAGCCTGCAGCCAGGTGGATTGGCTGCGGTGGCCCCTGCAGCTGGCCTCCTGCCCGGAGCGGCCAGGCACTCGTGTCCACTCGCTGGCTCACCCTGCTGTGCGCGGACCCGCGCCCACTGCTCTCCCACCCCACTCTGCTCCCGGCCCGGCAGCCTTGTTCTGAAGCCAGTGCTGGGCTGAAGGGTTTGTGGGAAGAGGGGCAGGTTGGTGGCTGGGGACACAGCTGCCCATTGGGAATGCTGCCCCCATCCCCCCCTTATTGCAGCCACTGGGGGGCGCTCAGGGCTGGGCTGGGAGTCGGGCGTGGAGACCAGGCAGGTGCCGGGAGGGTGGGCTCACGCCCTGTCCACAGGCCAGGCCCCACTCAGCCTCCCACGAAGGGAGGCTGCCCCATGCGAGGTTCGGGCCCCACTTTTCTGCTGCCAAGACACTGGTCCCCACCCGATGGACACACCCTCGGCCTGTGCAGACACCAGGCCTCCCAACCCTGCACAGGCCTCGGGGGTGGCCTGGCGGATGCTGGAGGTTCACTGCTGCTGGCGCTTGAGCCAAGAGCTCCTGGGCGCTGGGGCGCCCGCTCCTGTGGGGCGCCCTGCAGCCCGGGGCCCTGTCAGGAGCAGCCCAGGGGCCGCCACAGGGAGCCGAGTGCGGCTCTGCTGTTCTCGCTCTGGAACCGAGTTCCCCCCACCCCCAGGCACACGCCGCCGGCAGCAGGGTTCCGACTGCACGTCCACCTCCGAGGAGGAGTGTGGCCCTCATCACGGCTCCCCCAGGCACACGCGCTCCCGCACCTCGGCAGCCACGCAGACCCCGAGGGCCAGCAGCTGCAGCCGCGCCCGGCCCCGAGGCCCTGGCCTCCGGGACACCGATGACGAGGAGGAGGGGCCAGACCCCTACGGTCTCGTCGTGCAGACGGCGGAGATCGCGGAGATCGCCAGGTGGGCTGCGGCCAGGTGGGCGGTCTGCCAGGTGGGCCCTGCTGGGCGCCCGACGGGGAGGGCAGGGCCGGGCCCCGGGGCACTTCCCAAATGGGCTCCGTGGACGCTGTTCGGGCAGATGGGGGGGAGGGGCGCTGACGTTCCTGGGAGGGCAGGGGACTTCTGGCACTTGGAAGGCCTCCAGGAAGGTTGCTATTTAAAAAAAAAACATTTAAAAAAGATTTTACTTAATTGCTTCTTAGAGAAGGGAAGGGAGGGAGAAAGAGGAGAAGAGAAACATCAGTGTGTGGCTGCCTCTCACGTTCCCCTGCTGGGGACCTGGCCAGCATCCCAGGCATGTGCCCTGACTGGGAATCGAACCGGCGACCCTTTGGGTCACATGCCAGCACTCAGTCCATGGTCATTAAAGGTGTGCTCCCTGGTGTGGTCACTGAGTGGAAGGGTCCACCTCCAGGCCAGGCGCTGGGGGGGTGGTGAGTGCTGGTGTTGAAGACGCTGACCTTGACCTGAAGGAGGCAACCAGAGGCAGGCGGCTCCCAGGAGAAGGGCCCCTGTGGGGTTTGGAGCCGTGGGCGTCACTGGGACCAGGACGGCCACCAAGGCCGAAGGCAGTGAGAGCGCTCAGGATGGCCGAGGGGCGTGGGAGTGGACTGTGGGGGGGCTGGGCGGCCTGCAACAGGAGACGGCAGCACTCGGCCTGGGAGGCGGCCTGTACCGGTGCGAGTGTGGGGGTCCCCAGCTTCCCGCTCCCACCGCAGCCCCCGGGTGCGGGCCAGAGGCAGCAAAGGGACTGGCATGAGACACGGGCCAGTTTGTCACCAAGTGTCGGACCTGTGTTTCTTCAATGTGGGGTGGGTGGGCCCAGCGAGGGGCCCCTGTCCATGTCCAGGGACCAAGGGCACCCTGTGGGGGCAGAGCTGGGGCAGCCATGCTGGGCAGGGACTACAGGTGCCTCCAGGAGTGGATGGGCCTGAGGGCCGGCTAGGACAGCTGAGGACAGAGTGCTGGTGCCCGGTGGGCCTGGAGGCCCCATCCCGGGGGGCACCAGCAGGGTCATGGCAGTGAGGAGGGACTTCTGTCCCACGCCTGAGCTGAGAGCCCCAGGGTGTGGAACATGCTGGTCGTGGCCCGAGGGGCTCTGAGGGCTGGCTGGAGGCTGGAGGCTGGAGGCCGCAGGTAGCAGGGCACAGGGAGCTGTGCCTGGCCCGGCCTCTGCCCTCTTCCCAGTGGCCTGGGGGCTGGTCAGGAAACTCGAGTCGTCCATGGGGAGGGGTAAGGGCCAGGCCAGCACTGGGGGCTGAGCCCACCTCGGCTGCCTTCCGCCATAGGGAGGGAGCTGGCCTTTCTGGGTTGTGCTGCCGTTCCCTCTGCCCAATTCTGGCCCGGCCTCAGTTGCCCTGCTGGCAGAGGAGGGGCTTCCAGTGGCTGCCTCCTGGGAGGGCTTGTCTCCCCTGGGGGGCCGTGTGTCGGCCCCTGCCCCTGTCTGGGAGGCGCCCACAGCTCCGGCCTCCCCACCTGCCGCTGCAGACTGAGCCAGACGCTGGTGAAGGACGTGGCCATCCTGGCCCGGGAGATCCAGGACGTGGCCGGGGACGGGGATGCGAGGGTCTCCCCGGGGCCTGCCCGCAGCCCCTCCCTCAGCAACGTGCCAGCCTCCACCATCTCCGCCCGAGAGGAGGTGAGCCGGGCCCTCCGCCGAGGCCGCCAGCTGCTCCGGGAGCGTGGGCTCTGGGACCTGCCTCTGCCGGGGGTTGGGGCGTCCAGGGACCCCGAGCAGACGAGCTGGGGTCCACTCTGTCCATCTGCTGTCCTCGAGGGGAGGTGCCGCGGTCCCCACCTTTGTCAGCCCCCCGCTGGGCTGACCACCCGCCCCCGCAACACACAGCTGGTGCAGCGCATCCCCGAGGCAAGCCTCAACTTCCAGAAGGTGCCGCCTGGTGCCCTGAGCTCTCGGGACTTGGACCAGAATATGAATGACCGCCGGGAGGACCCCCTGGCCAATAAGACGAGGCCTCGGAACCGCGAGGAGGCAGGCACCCCTCCTCAGACCGGGCTGCATGCACAGGGTCCTCCGGGCCCGGGCGGTGTGGGGGCAGACGTGCCGAGGGCGCAGGCTTGGCGGGGACACCTGGGCCCGTGCTGATGCCCGGCCCTCGCAGGTGATCTTCGATAACCTGATGCTGAACCCTGTGTCCCGGCTGTCCCAGGCCATCCGGGAGGACACGGAGCACCTTGCCGAGAAGATGAAGTGAGTGCCTCCCATCCTCCCACCCCCAAAGTGCCGCCAGCTCTGGGAGCCCTGGCCAGAAGGGGGGGGCTGGGGTTCCCAGCAGGACTCCACTCAGACAGGAACGTCTGCCAGTGAGCCAGGACCGGGTGGGGCTGGTGTCCTCCAAGGCCCACAGTCTGAGGACACCTGTGCACACGTATGCCCAGGGGAGCCAGAGCCCCGCCCGCCCCCACTCCCTCCCCCTCAGCCCTGCCCTGGGCCAGGCGTAACCGGAGTGGGCCAGCCTCGGTCCTGCCCGAGCCTCCGGCCCCCCTGGGGCCTAGCAGGGGTGGTCAGGAGTGGGGGGTCTTGGCTCCACACCACTGTCTTCTGCCTGCCCCCCTGTACCCCCCGCTGGGCAGGATCCTCTTCCAGAACTCAGGGCATGCGTGGGAGGACTTGGAAGCCAGAATCAACGCCGAGAACGAGGTGCCCATCTTGAAGACTTCCAACAAGGTGAGGCTGGATGGGGACAGGCAGGCGCCACCTGGACCCAGAGTCCCCCAGCCCACTTGGCTGCAGGGAGGGGGTGGGAGAGCTGGCCCCTCGGTGGCCGGGCTCCCTCGGTGCCATCAGACTCCTTCCCTGGGCTTCCAGGAGATCAGCTCCATCCTGAAGGAACTGAGGCGTGTGCAGAAGCAGCTGGAAGGTGGGTGGGGCCCACGCCCAGGGGCCCCACTGGTGCTTCGGCCTGGGGCTGGGGGCTGGGGGCTGGGGGCCCCGTGGGAGAGCCTGGGGGTGTGGGGTGGGGCCGCGTCCTCCCTACACCTCACCCTCCACCCCATCCCTCAGTCATCAACGCCATCGTGGACCCCAGCGGGAACCTGGACCTGCTGACTGCAAACAGGGGCTCTGCTGGCTCTGCCCAGCCTGGGAAGGGCCGGCCGACTGTCCAGAGTTTGTCCTCACCGCCCTCAGCCCTGTCCCTGAGGAGCTTCCCGCAGAGGGCCACCTGCGGGTCCCCCAGCCTCCCGGACCCCTCCTTCTTGCCCGACTTCCTCCCGGACTCTGAGAGGTTCCTGATCTAGGGGGCAGGGTGGGGCGGCCCCTGTGTGTGGGCGCCTGGTGGGTGCTTCCCACTGTCCCCTCCCGCTGCCTCCACCCCTCCCGGCGGCAGCCGGTTCATCACGAAGACCCCCACACGTGCCATAACCCCACGGCGGGTGCTGCACCCAGGCCCCCCCTCGGCTCCCAGCCAGCACCCACAGGATTGTCCAGCCCCTGCCCCGGCAGCCCCCCGGCCCCGCTTCTGCTGTGGCCACTGCCAAGGGCTGCACCAGGGGCCTGTCCCCACACCCTCTGCATCGCTGTCACTTTCATCTTTAGCTTTCAAGGAGAGAGTCGTTTGTTCCGTTTCAGCAGCCTCCCTGCTTCTCGGGCCGGGCACGTACTTGCCTGTCCTGTCCTGTCCTGTCCTGTGTGCTGGCCGGCCAGGCAGAGGCAGGGGCTGCCCGTGGGGTCACTGAGTGCCAAACAGGGAGCTGGGCGGGCTCGACATCTGGGGCTCAACGTGTGGGACTCGAGGGTGTGGGCAGGGTGGGGACCAGCAGCTCGGGCCTTTGGTGCCAATACGCCTGCAGACCCGCGGAGCATGCGGGCTGCTGTGGGGAGGGGCTGGGTGTGCCCCGCGCCTGCTCACTGCCGGCCCAGGCACATCCGCATGGTGTGCGAGGCCCGTCCCAAGACGGTGCTGGGCCCCCGCACTTGGCTTCTGGTAGTTCTGGGCCGGACCAGAGTGGCTGCAGCCGCCCTCCTCTGGACTCTGGGCAGATGGGGCATCTTCAGGCGCCCCTTCCCGTGGGTGGGGGTAGGGACAGGCCCTGGAAGCAGTGTGTCATTTCTCAGGATTCTGTCAGCGGGAATGTGCCAGGCGGCCCCTCCTGGGGGCCCGTGTTTCTGGAGCCTCTAAGCCAAAGAGCCGTGGGTGGGGCGGGGCGTCCCCTCGGCCCAGTGCTGTGGCCGCCGTGCACCCGCCTGGTGTCCGTGTGTTGACTGCAGGAGGGACTGACGGCGGGGGTCACACACACGGGGGCTGGGGGGCTGGCTCTGTGTTTACATTGGCGTCCAGGCGCAGCCCCTGCCCACAGATGTCTACCTGTGTGAGTGGCAGTCACTTGGAGGCGGTGCTAGTCCTGGCCCCGCCCCACATGCCCCGCCCCACATGCCCCGCCCCACATGCCCCGCCCCACCGCCCCACCGCCCCGCACGGTCTCAGCTCTGTCCGCAGAGCCTCCTCCCTCCACACACCCCCACCCCTGGGGCCGCTGCACCATTCTCTCCATCAGCCTGTGCCCCTGCAGCCCCGGGCCTCGGGTCAGTAACTTACTTGTCTGGCTCCACGGAGGCTCCTCTGTGCTTGTCCTCAGGTGGCCTGTCGGTGTCTTTGAGAAAATGGTTATTTTATATGATTTGTCATGGAACTTGTTCTAATAAATCATTCTATCACGTGGCAACATTCTGGTGGTGGCACCTTGGCCTTGTTTCTCAGGGGCGACGTGGCTGGTGGGGGGGTTGTAATCCAAGGGGCCCCCTTTCCTGGCCTGGAAATTTGGTTTTGACCCAGACTGGGGGATGCTGCAGTGCACAGATGTCACCACCAGGTGGCGGCCTAGGTGAGAAAGCGAAGTGGCCTTCCCAGATGTTTGCTTCCGGAAAAGTTTATTACAGCCGTCAGGCTGCACCCTCCAAGGGCGCCCCTGAGAGGCACACTGTGCTGGACAGTCCTTGGCTCCGTGCTGAGCCAGATCCTCCCCCTGGATGGCCGTGGAGGGGGCTCTGACCACCCACGGTGCCTGCATCCCCCCACCTGGTGCCTACAGCCTGCACCTTCCCTCCCAAGGCCAGTCATGGCCCCCCTTCAGCTACAGGGACGACCTAGAAGCCAGAGGGACAAGTGTCCAGCATGGGGGGGGGGCACAAGGCCAGCCACCACCAGCACCTGCTCACTAGGTCACTCGGTCAGCAGAGCAGGGGTCACTTGTATCTCAGCGGTGCCCCGAGCCAGGCCTAGTCCCCTCACAAAGTGCTCCTGGCCCTGGGAGCGCAAAGCCATCAGAAAGAACTCGAGCTCCGCACGCTGCAGCGCGGGCATTGCCAACGCCCAAGTCCGCGGGCCGTGACAAGTGTGGCAACAGGGGTGCCCGCCTTGGTTCCCTCTTGGAGGAAGGTAGGGACCGAGAGGTTGGTCTCAGTGGTGGTTACACAGGCATGCGACGTGTAAGCAGCCACGGTGCACACTCAGAAGTCTCTGCTTCCCCACGTGTGTCTCGGGTGACGGAGGACACTGAACGCCGGTGCCGCCTGTGCTGCCGACCCCCTGGGGCCTCGAAACCCCAGGCAGCCTTGGCGCACCTGCCCGCGCACCTGCCCTCGCACCTGCCCTCGCGTCCAGTGTGGCCTGGCCGCCAGCTTCCTAGCCCTTTCCCTAGACCCGACTTTCCGGTTTTGTAGGTTTTCCGTATCATACATTTCTGTTTCATTAGTTTCTGCTGTTGTTTATTACTTACTATTTGACTTTCACGAGTTCCTTTCCCCTCCCGTCTTCCTTCCTCTCTGCTTCCATGCCTGTTCAGCAGCGGCACACACGGGGTCTGCGTTCATCTGTGTCGAAGTGCACAGCACTTCTCGGGTTGGCGGCTTGGTGTGCCCTGCACCAGCCGTGGAAAATCTCGCCCACTTCCTCTTCGGATGTTGCTCTGCTCTGCCTGCCGCCTGCCACAGGCAGGGACCTGTGCCCTGGGTCTCTCTCGTGATGGGCTCTGCATGCCATGGCTCCGGGTTGGTAGTGACCCCGGGTCCCTTCAGGAACGAGTACAAGTCACCTCCAGAGAAAGGCCTCTCGGCAGCAGCTCATGGGCCAACTCGGCTGATGGGAGCCGCTGCCAGAGGCTGGAAACACACCTGGGGCAGCCCCAGCACAGCACAAGTGAAACACGTCGAAAAGTTGGCAAAAAGGCAAAACAAAAAACAAACAAAAAAAAACCCCTGGCTGGTGTAGCTCAGTGGATTGAGCACCGGCCTGTGAACCAAAGTATTGAGGTTCGATTCCCAGTCAGGGCACATGCCTGGGTTGCAGGCCAGTTCCCAGCAGGGGACGCACAAGAGGCAACCACACATTGATATTTCTCTCTCTCTCTCTCTCTCTCTCCTTCCCTTCCCCTCTAAAGATAAATAAATAAAATCTTAAAAAACAAACAAACAAACCCGTAGCTGGTTAGGGTTGGAAAAGCATCACACTGAAAACTGCAGTGACTGGGAGTAAAATTTGGAAAGCAAACTCAGTAGGAAAGTGCCCGGGTGCAGGGCGCACGGCCACCGAAACAGGACGGGGGGGGGGGGAGCAGGCGCAGGGGCCGGGGGCAGAGCTGGGACGGGCGAGTGCTCTAGGTTGGGTTGTGTCCCCCACAAAAATGGTGTCGAAGTCCAAGCGCCCCATCCTTTGAATGTGACCTTACTTGGGGGTAGAGACCCCACCGCGACGGAGTGAAGGCACGGTCACCAGCACAGACCCTGACGCAGGTGCCTGGTGTCCTCCCAGAAAGGGCGGCTTCGATCGCAGACACGGAGATGCCTGGGGCACCAGCGACTAGCAGGGAAGCCAGGAGCATACCCCCACGGCCCTCTCAGGGAGCCGCCCGGCCGGCACCCAGCTGGGCCTTCCGGCCTCCAGAACTGAACCAACAAATTCTTGTGTGTAAGCCCCCCAGTGCTTGGCGCTCCGTGCCAACAGCCCCCCACAGGCTGGAACACGCCCCCACAGGTGCCGGGAGCTCCACGTGTGCCAGGGAGGGTTTAAAACACGGAGCAACACCCAGTTCCACCAGCGGCCCGGGAGGACGGCAGATACGGACAGGACGCGTCCCTGCCCAGCGACGGCAGCAGGTCCCTCGACAGCAGCAGTGGGGCCTGAAGACCTCAGAGCTCCCACGGAGGCTCTGCCGGTCGCATGCCAGACCCAGAAACGTGACCCTCGCTGATGCAGTTAGAGACATTTTCATGTGGCTGACAGCCGGCCGTTGACCCCTCTCAAGGCAAACAGTGGGCGATCGAGAATTCTGTACCCAGAGAAACTAGTGTTCTGCTTGGTTCTAAAGGAGGTGTTCCAGGAAGGGCAGTGCTCACAGAGGAGGGGGCTGAAATAGAACAAAAATGTGAGTGGATAAATTGGTGAAAGTGGGTAATTCTAAACATACCCTGACCAGACAAAATAATTATAAAGTGTGTAACTTATTTTTTAAAAGATCTTATTTATTTATTTATTTGTTTGTTTGTTTGTTTTTAGAGAGAAGGGAAGGGAGGGAGGAAGGGAAGAAGAAAAACATCAGTGTGTGGTTGCTTCTTGTGCGCCCCCTACTGGGGACCTGGCCTGCAACCCAGGCATGTGCCCTGACTGGGAATCGAACTGGTAACTTTTTGCTTCATAGGCCGGTGCTCAATCCAATGAGCTACACCAGCTGGGGCAGGTGAGTCAATTATGGGTTTAAAATAATGATAATAAGCCCTGGCTGGTGTAGCTCAGTGGACTGAGCGCAGGTCTGCAAACCAGAGGATCGCGGTTCAATTCCCAGTCAGGGCGCATGCCTGGGTTGCAAGCCAGTTCCCTGCAGGCCATTTTCCAGCAGGGGACGCACTAGAGGCAACCACACATTTATGTTTCTCTCCTTCCCTTCCCCTCTAAAGATAAATAAATAAATATTTTAAAAAAATAAATAAAATAAAATAATGATAGTAATAGCGTTGCGAGAACTTGATAAAATTCAGGAGTAACTGACTTTCAGGAGTGACCACTGCGCTGGGATGTTGTAGGAGGTGTGTGTGTTTGGAATGCAAACTAAAGCAGTGAGGAGTGAGATGTCACTTGTACCCTCCTTTAAAACATGTCAGCAAAGACAGCGAGGAGGCAGGGTGGGCGTCCGTGGGGGGGTCTGAGTGCTCATGGGGCTGCCCCCCCCTTTCTGGGAACATCCTTAGAACATCGGGGAGAAAGAGGAGGTGAGGTGAGAGAATGCGGGGCTAACCGTAAAAGTTATGATTTGGAATATTAACTAAATCCTCCAAATCTATTTTTACAAACTCAGTGACTCGATTTAAAAGTGGGCCAAAGACATACAGGGCCTCCCTGGACCGGCCGATGCGCTCGGCACCCCTCACGGTCAGTCGCCGGCCCACGACCTCGGGGTGCCTGGCCCCGTCCTGTGTCAGGCTTGCGTGGGGCCAGGGAGCTCTGCGCGGCCATTTGGACACATGCTGCTGTCACCCTGGACGGCGCGGACCGCACACCTGCCGACGGAGAGAACTGGGGCGGCCGTCCAGCCGCCCAGCCAGGGAGCAGAAGCCACCCAGGCTGGGTCCTGGAGACGACCCCAAGGCCGGCCCAGGCAGCGGGTCCAGGAAGCAAATGAAGGGACCTGGGGGCCACCATTCCTCAGTCACTTCCCAGGCCACCCACCCTGGCCCCTGAATCCCCCGTTGACACTGATCTTGGGAACCGCCACCCACACAAACGGCAGGCAGGTGGCCACCCTGAGGCTAACCCCTGCCCTGAGTGGGAGCTTACGTGGGGGAGCTGGGGCAGAGGCCCCGGCCTTATTCAAAGAGAAGTGAGAGGGCTATTCTCAAGGTGAAGTCTGCAGGGCCACGGGGTTGTGTGTTCAGGGAGCCCCCACTGGAGGGGGCAGGGGGAGGCAGTGCCCGTTGCTGGGGCCGAGAGTTGGCACCTTCTAGCCAGGCCCGCCTCGTCAGACAGGCCAACCAGCAACCCCCGGCTCTCTCCTGGGTGGAGTTCCTACCTGCCTCCATTTCCTGGCATCCCTTGCAGCTAGATGCCGTCATGTGACTACGTTTTATTTTTATTTTTAAACTTTAAAAATCTTTTTCTTCTTTTTTTTTAAAGATTTTATTTATTTATCTTTAGAGGGGAAGGGAAGGAGAGAGGGAGAGAAACATCAATGTATGGTTGCGTCTCGTAGGTCCCCTACTGGGAACTGGCCTGCAACCCAGGCAACTCAGGCCCTGACTGGGAATCAAACCACGATCCTTTGGTTTGCAGGCCTGCATTCGATCCACTGAGCTACACCAGCCAGGGCTATTTTTAAACTTTTTTTGTGACCAAGTTTTAGGTCATGAAACATAAGTCAAAGTGCCGTGGGAGACTTCTAGGAAGTCCCCGGGATAGCCTTTGTGTTCTGCTAGGAACACAGAGGTGAGAGCTGAGCTCAAGTAGCCATTATGGGACCGTGAGGCCGCAGGCCAACCCTTGGGAACAGCTGAGAGCCGGAGGGACCCAGCTCCCACAGCCGTGGGGCCCACACATCGCTAGACCATCAGCCCCTGACCCTAGTTGGTGTGAGAGAGACATGAGCACTCGTACTTGAGCCCCGGTTCCTCGGGTCCCTGTGGTTTGCATCAACCCTCCTAAAACACAGGTCCGTGCCCGGAACGCGTCCATCTCGGGCAGTGGAGGGAGGGTAGTTTTTCTCCGGAGTGGAAGTGTCAGCCCCACCCTTGAACTGGCTGACCCTGCTCCAGAGGTCGTCTGCCGGGAGTGTGGAGGGGGGTTCTCAGGCCTGAGAGGAAGTAACCAAAGGGGAAGCAGCAGACAGGCAGGTGGGCGGGCCGAGGCAGCCGGAGCCGGCCCAGAGAGCTGAGGGCTGCAGTCGGGCTGGAGCCGAGATGGGTGTCAAAGCAGGACCCCCAGAGGTGAGTGCCACGGAGCCGGGGCCCGCCCGCCCCTCCCCAGGGTCCCCGGTGGGCCTGTCCCAGCCTGGGGCCCCCCAGCCGGGCCCCGCACCCTAAGGGCGAGTGTCCTCACCTTCAGCCGAGACCTCTGGCGCCTGCGGGGCCCACGGCCCCCACACAGGGCTTGGTCGCCACCTGTCCCTGGGGAGGGGGGTCTCTTGGTCTATCACAGTCCTGAGCACCAGTGCTGATGGGTCGCCCCCTCCAAACAGCAGCCCATCGGAGGGACACATGGGGTCTTCGGGGACGGAGGGGGCACACAGGGCTTCAGCTGCCTCAGCCGCCCTGGTGGCCGGTGCCCCTGTTCCTGCAGAATTCCCAGTGGCCCTGAGGGGAGACAATACTTGCGAGGGGACTGGGGGGGGCGGCAGGCAGCCGGGCGGTGCCCCGACCTGTCTGTCTGCTGGCAGCACCTGTGGTGTGAGGTGCGGGGTCAGGACCCTCCTGAGGTTGTCCCTGTGCCCTCTCCCCACCCCCGCCCTGTCACTCTGACGACCTGTCCTGTCCCGAGAGGCCGTGGCGTGGCAGCCTGGTGCTGGGCCCCGTACCCTCCCTGGGAGGGGGTTGGCCAGCCCGAGCCCATTGCTGCCAGGCCCTGACTCCCCTCTGGGGGAGCTTCCTAGAAGAAGGGTGCCAGCCCTTGGGGACCCTAGAAGGGCCCCCCTCTTGCTCTGGCTTCCACCCCGAAATGCCCTGGCTCGGGTCAGGCACAGACCCTGGGTTCTACCCTTGTGGCCGCACTGCCCTGTGCTAAGGTGGGGCAGGTGTCCCGTGGGGGGCAGCCCCAGAGGACCCTCGGAGGCCTGAGGCGGAGCCGGCGCTCCTGGTCTCGGTCCCAGGCCCCAGGCAGCACCGAGGGTCCTGCTTCAGCCCACAGCCCCCCGAGAGCACGGTGGGGCTCTGGCTCAGCCCACACTGGGTCCCTCTCCCTCTCCACATGGTGCCTTCCCAGCAGGACAAGGACCAAGGCAGCTCCGGGAGGGGAGCCGGGGGTCAGCGGGGAAGGAAAGTGGCTATTTATAGGCCTGAAACGAGAGCCGAGCTCGAAAGCAGAACCGACTCTCACACTCGCCGCGGTCGTGGTCGGAACAAGGAACTGAGATTCTGCTGCCCCCGACACCCGCCGAGAGGGGACCGAGAGAGGGGAGACACACAGACACACGGACACACACACACTAGCAAACAGCCGGGGCTCCTCCACTTCAGGGTCCCCTCCCGCCGGTCAGAGGCTGTGGCCGGGGCAGCGTGGTGGAGACCTACACTAGTGGGACCCTGAGCAGGAGTGGGAGGCCCCAGGGGCTTGAGCAGGTGTCTGCAGGGTGCCCACAGCCGGGGGTGTCCCCAGCGCCCAGCTGCCTGTGGCCAGGGCTGCAGGTGACATGGGGCCACTCGGCGCAGGTGCGGAGCCCTCCGTGGAGAGCGTTGCTGGCCCCTGCATGGCCCCACCCCATGCTGCCCCCCAGCCCACGGAGCAGAGAGCTGGGCACGGTAGGCCTGGGGCTGGGGGCAGGGGTGGGGCGGCCTCACAGGGCCCGTGGGCAGAGCTGTGAGGGACCCTCTGGGGGCACCCCAGCCAGAGAGCTGCCCAGCACTGACCCACACACTTCTGTCTTCCTGGGAGGACAGCCGGTGACCACCTGGCCACCTGACCTCACCAACACAGTGGGCTCAGCACCCTCCTCCCCACCCCTGCCCATGTGGCCTCCCCCCAGTGGCAGGCCTCGCCCTCCCAGGGAGTGGGGGACCCCTTGGTGATACCTTGTCCAGTTGCAGGTCCTGGGAACCCTGGCCGTGCTGTGGCTCAGTGGCGTGGCTCTCATCTACCTCCTGTGGCAAGTGCCCCATCTGCCCACCTGGGGCCAGCGGCAACCCGCCACGTCCCCGGCCTGGGAGGCCCTGGGAGGGGAGGACCAGGGGCCAGACTCCTGTCAGTGAGTGAGCCCGTGGGGTCTGTGGGGCGGGGGGAGGTCTCAGCCCTGGGCTGTGGTGTCCCGGCACCCCTGTCCCCCCCCCAGCCCTCTGCCAGCTCTTCTCTGAGGATGCAGGCTCCAGGGGGGAGGGCGGCGGGGAGCCCGGAGTGAGGGTTCCAGACTGGCTGGGGTGGACTTGGGGTGCTGTTTGCCGCACACACAAGGACCACCTGGGGGTCGGGACGACCCCCACCGGGGCCGCGGTGTGGCATCCTTACCGCCCCAGGAGCTGTGTCTGCCCCCATGTGTGGAACGGGGGCTCGCCTAACCCGGCCGGCCCCCACCACCTCCCAGTGCCTCCCCGCCAGCTCCATGGGCTCCCCGGGCAGGGGCTCAGATTGGGTCGGGGCCTGGGCCCCCATCCGCCCTGCTCAGGCCCCTCCCTGGCCGGCTGCCAGCTGTCACCCCCCACTGCGGGTGGGTTTGTGGGGCTCAGGTTGGGCACCTGTGCCACCCGGGCAGGTGGCTGCCCCTCCCCCCTCTGGCACCCCGCCCTGGGGCCTGGTCAGCAGCAGCCCCTCTGGTTCGGCTGTGCGGACGCTGATGGAGCCGGTGGTGGGAGGCAGGCTGGCGGCCTCATGTTGGGCCCTGCCGGCTCCACCCCAGGCTGCTCCTCGTGGAGAGCCTCCCCCAGGACCTGCCCTTTGCGGCCGGCAGCCCGTTCGCCCAGCCCCTGGCCCAGGCCTGGCTGCAGCTGCTGGATGCCGCCCAGGAGAGTGTCCACATCGCCTCCTACTACTGGTCCCTCACGGGCCCCGACATCGGGGTCAACGACACCTCTGCCCAGCTGGTGCGTCCCCAGCCCCTGCCCTTCCTCCCACTGAGCAGGGCCACCCATCACTCTGCCTCTGAGCTGGGGGTGGTCGGGGTGGGTCCTTCATAGCGGGGGGCGGCAGAGGGCCGGCCTGGGGCTGCCGCTCACTGCCAGTCTGGGCCGCAGGGAGAGGCCCTGCTGCAGAAGCTGCAACAGGTGCTGGACAGGAATGTGTCCCTGGCTGTGGCCACCAGCCACCCGACACTGGCCAGGAACTCCACGGACCTCCAGGCCTTGGCAGCCCGAGGTGGGTGCCTGCCCGCCCCTCCTGCACCTGGGGTGGACAGGGGGCTGACTTGCTGGCGTCAGGGACAGGGACGAGGACATCGGAGCTGCTTCTGGGAGCCGGGAAAAGCACCGGGACTCCCGTGGGGCAGGGGCTCGGGCCACGAACCCTTCCAGGCAGCTCCACGGGGCCGGGCTACGAAGAGCCGGAGCACCATCCACGGGGTGCAGCACAGGGCGGCCTGTGGGGGGCAGCACGAGACAGCTGGCGTGGGGCTACGAGGGGGCTCCAGGGCCAGTCCGTGCCTCAGTTTCTCCATCTTTAAAGTGGCACGGACCTAGCAGATGGTGTGGGAGGGGAGAGAAGCCGACGCAGGGCTGCGAGCGCTGTGAGGCTCCCAGGAAGCTGGTTCACCCTGCTGCCCCCCCCCCCGACCCTGGCCAGGTGCACAGGTACGCCAGGTGCCCATGGGGCGGCTCACCGGCGGCGTTCTGCACTCCAAGTTCTGGGTCGTGGACGGGTTGCACGTCTACCTGGGCAGTGCCAACATGGACTGGCGGTCCCTGACCCAGGTGAGCCCCGCAGCCCCGCAGGGGAGCCCCCACCCCACACTCCGGGGCTCTGCCTGGGGTCCCCACAGCCCCCACATGAGAGCCTGGGCGACACAGCCACAGTGTTGTCTCAGCACAGCGGGGCCCGTGCGAGGTGCTTCCGTGAGTCACAGGGCGCCCCCCGCCACCGAGCTCACGCTGTGGGGCCCATCGCACGGTCACCCCCCCCCCCGAGGCAGAGTGGCCCCCCGGGGTCCCGGCCAGTGCCGACCCGACTGAAGGGAGGAGCAGTGTCTCCTGCCCTCCTCGTCCACCGGGTCGTGGTGGTGGGCGTGCATTCTCAGACCCCCGGGAGCGACGGGCAACATGGAAGGGACCCTGCCTGTGAGGGGTTCCTGCTGCTGGTGCTGCCGAGGACCAGCCACCGGGTGTGGGCCGTGCCCCGCCTGCGCCCCCGGCCAGCGCCGCCGCTGTCCCCGCAGGTGAAGGAGCTCGGTGCTGTCGTCTACAACTGCAGCCGCCTGGCCCGGGACCTGGAGAAGACCTTCCAGACCTACTGGGTGCTGGGGGCGCCCAAGGCTGCACTCCCCAAACACTGGCCTCAGAACTTCTCGTCCCACTTCAACCGCTTCCAGCCCCTCTACGCCCGCTTTGACGGGGTGCCCACCACAGCCTACTTCTCGGTGAGCCACCGGCAGGGCCCACAGGGCACCTGGCAGTCACCACAGCGCCTGTGGGTCCTCGGGGAGACAGCCGGGGCCCAGCACCCTGGATGGCCGTGGTGTCAGGGGTCGGGGGAGGCAGGCCCAGTTCCAGCCCAGGATGCAACCCTCGCCGCCCACAGGAGAGACAGGCAGCGGGGGGGGGGGGGGGGGGGGGGGGGGGGGGGCCTCGGGGGTCTCCAAGGGCAGTGCCAGGTGGGGGTGAGGGGTTCCACTGGGGCTGGGGAGGCCAAGAGAGGCCAGTGCACCCTGCGACCTCGTCACTCTGCAGGGGAGGAAGGAAGCTGGGCGGGCCGGTCCCAGCGGGCGCCCTGAGGGAAGGGCGCCCCCCTCTGGCCGCGCGGCCGGACGAGGGCCAAGACCTGGGTTCAGGGCAAGCACTCGGCCCAGGGCGCCTGGAGCGGATGGGCAGCCTTGCCTGGCACAGGGTCTGTCTTCCTCGGGGTGGGCAGGGCCGGGCCCACCCCCTCCTGCCTCTGCAGGCAGCGCCTCCGTCTGCCCCCTGAATCCCAAAGGCTGGAGGGAGGGGTGCACAAGGGCTCCCAGGTCAGGGAGCTAAGAGGCTCGGAAGGGGGGGGCAGTGCCTGCAGGGGACCTCTCTGCCTCTCAGGCGTCGCCGCCCGAGCTCTGCCCCCACGGCCGCACCCGGGACCTGGACGCGCTGCTGGCAGTGATGCGGGGGGCCCGGCAGTTCATCTACGCCTCGGTGATGGACTACTTCCCCACCACCCGCTTCACCCACCCGGCCAGGTAGGGAGCCCCTGGGCCCTGGGGGGCAGCCCGTTCTCCCTCCTGCCCGGACCTTGCAGGCAGGGCCCTGGGGGCGCCCAGGGCCTGGACCCTGTTCCACTGCCTCAGGTACTGGCCGGTGCTGGACAATGCGCTGCGGGAGGCGGCCTTTGGCAGGGGTGTGCACGTGCGCCTGCTGGTCAGCTGCTGGCTCAACACGGACCCCAGGATGTTCCCCTACCTACGGTCCCTGCAGGCCTTCAGCGACCCCGCGGCCGGCATCTCCGTGGACGTGGTAAGCACTCCCACCCCGGGGCCCGGCTGGTGGGAGGCACCCTCCTCTCCTCTGTAACACGCCCCCTCCTCTCTGCCCCCAAAGAAAGTCTTCATCGTGCCTGTGGGGAACCACTCCAACATCCCGTTCAGCAGGGTGAACCACAGCAAGTTCATGGTCACAGAGAGGGCAGCTTACATCGGTGAGTGGCTGTGGGGGTCCGTGGCAGGGGTGGACCGAGGGCCCCTGAGTGTCGGGAGCAGCCCCAAGTGAGGGCACAGAGGCCACACAGACCCATGCGAAGGGACCAGCCCCGGCCATAGCCAGCCCGGGGGCCGGCAGGGGCACTGCTCTTAGGCCAGAGGACAGAGTGGCCACGGATGGAGTCTCAGTGCCGTTCTGAGGACCACACGACCAACCAGCCTTCATAGGTGCCCACGGGACCGGGCCAGGCACCCAGCGTCTCTGTCTTGCACCCCCAGGCACCTCCAACTGGTCGGAAGATTACTTCAGCAGCACCTCAGGTGTGGGCCTGGTGGTCAGCCAGAGGCCCTCGGTCACGGAGCCCAGGTGCGACACCGTGCAGGAGCAGCTGCGGCAGCTGTTTGAGCGGGATTGGAGCTCCCGCTACGCCGTGGGCCTGGACGGACAGGCGCAGGGCCAGGACTGCTCGTGGCAGCACTGATCCCCCCCCACCCCGATGTCCCTGGTGGGTGCTGCTCCCCTCAAGGCCTCCCCGCCCGTCCGTCCTCCCATCTGGACTCCAGGCAGCTCCTTCCGCACAGGCCATGGTCAGGGTCAAGACTGCCCAGGCCCAGGGCAGTGGAACAAACTGTTCACTCTCCCCTGCTCTCCAGACGCAACCCCTCAATGCGCCTCCCTCATCAAGGGGACCCCCAGAGGCCTCTGCACGACCCCTGCCAGACTGCAGTCCCGCCCACATGAGGGGCCTTCAGAGCACATCCGCCTTCCTGTCTCTCTGTGCATCTGGCCGGGGCCAGAGTCCACGCCTGACCCCGCGGGGGCCGTGTCCACATGGCAGGCGGGTGAGGGGGCCGCTTGTGTGTCCCCAGAGCCCCTGACTCTCACCAGGGTCACAGCCGCGGGTCCTGCGGGGGGCCAGGCTGTGCTGGGGCTCCCGACCCACAGAATCGGGGGTGATAAATGTGTCGTTTCAGCTGCTGAGGTGTGGTGATTTCTTACATGAGCAGACAACCAATACCCGGGGGTGGGGGTGGGGAGGGGGGACGGGCGTAGGCCCCTGCGGCCTCCAGACAGAAGCCCCGGCATCTTGGGCCTCGACTCGGGGTTGCCAGAGGGATGAGAACCCCTGAAGCCAGGCAGCACCCCCAGCCTGGGGTGGGGGGCGCCCCACAGGGGCCAGGCAGGGAGACAGGGAATTGGAGGCTGGACTGCACAGCCAAAACCTACCAGACGCCCCCTTCACACGTGAGCCACTCAGGGACCTGATGTTGGCTCACTTTCCAGAAGGTTCCATGGCCCCCTAACTTGGATGCCCACGGTGGCACAGGGAGGGACATCCAGCCTCGCCCCCAGACCTGACCGCCTGCTCCCAGTGGACCCTGCCCCCCCACCTCCAGTCCCATGGCTCTCCAGTCTGGCAAGGCAGAGCCCCAGGCTCAGGCACCCGCGGGCCGGAGCCAGGCCTTCAAACCGAGTCTTCCCGTGGGAATCGGGCCTAGAAGATGCAGACAGACTGTTACGCTCTCGCTAAAACTCCATCACCCTGGTCTACAGCAACAAACGTGTATTGTCTGTGTTCAAGGTAATATCCAAAGCCTGTGTGAGCTCTCCCAAGCACAGAGCTAATCAGCTCACTGCCACTCCCGTCTGCCTGTTATTTTCCTTTCCTTGCTTGTACCTAGAATGTAGACACTACTGTTCCGTGTGATAGATAACAAATCTTTCTCTGATGTGAGACCCCCAGGAAAACAATAAAAGCCTGTCTAAGCGAGGGTCGGGGCGCTCCCCTCTTGAGGGAGTGGCCGAGGCACCATAGACACTGCCCCCTTGAGAGAGCCGTCGTGCCTGTTCCCTTTTCCCACACAGGATTGTTGTCGCCTGTGCACTGATTCTTGTTGTCAGCCACAGCAGGCGGACTCTGCTGGCCAGGGTCTGCAACAGCTCAGAGCACGTCTGCCCACGAGCCCAGGGGAGGCGTGACTGCTGTAGGAAACCCCTGCCCCTCATTCAGCACCCACGTGGACCTGCTCCCCCTGGGCTGCTTGGAGGAGGCGGCTGTGGTGAAGGAAGCTTCTGAGACGGCCAAGGGCCCCGCCCACCTGCAGCCCCGAGCCCTCTCTCCTTGCCGTCGGCTGGGGGTAGGGGGGTGCGTGTCCGTGCCCCCCCACACCTGCTGGGGGTCCCCCACGTGCTGGCCCACAGGGGTCTGGACGGACACATGGGCCCCTGGACAACTGCTCCCAGACTCGCCCTGAGTCCACTGTCCACGGAGCCTGGGAGTGGACTGCGTGGGGGCCAAGGGGCGGCGCTTCCCAGGACAAAAGCCCTCATGGCCAACACTGCGGTTCATCACCTCCTTTATTGCCTGGCAGGGACAGTGAGGGCAGCATTTGGGGCTGTGTGTGCACCAGGGGTGGGGGTGCAGGGGTGGCGACCCCGACAGAATTTCCTCCAGCTCCTCTGGCTCGAGGCCCAGGGCCAGCCAGCACCAGCCACACCCTCCGGCCCAGCAGCCCTGCCTGTCACAGGAAGCCCCACCCCCCCAGCTTGGCCTGGCAGGAAGGCCAACAAAAGGGCTAACTGGTTATCAGTGTGCAGGACCTGGGTTCCCAGGAACGTGCCGGCCAGGGAAGCTCCCTCAGCTGGGAAGCAGCGCTGGGCAGGGGCCAGGGCAGCCCTGTGAGCAAGCAGCCGTCTATTCGGGGGTGCGAGGGCAGGTTCCCCGAAGCGTATGAGCTAAGACTTCTGCAGCAGCACCTCCAGGAGCACCGCTGCCCGCCCGGTCCCCGCGTCCCCGGCGGCCGGAGGCTCCACAATGGCCACGCCCTTGCTCTCCGAATTGGTGCCCCAGAGAGCACCACTCGCAGCCTCACTGGGCTGTGGACTCGGTGCTGGCGGCCTCGGTGGGCTCCCGGCCGTCGGGCTCCTCCACAGAGAAGCTTTCTCGGGCATCGAAAAAGGTGACCACTTCTTCCTGGAGCTTCGGCCCGGCCAGGCCCGCCTCGTCCTCCCCAGAGCTCTCTCTCTTCCCGCTGGGCGAGGAGGAGAATCCTAACCTGGGAAATCGGAACCAGCCGGCCTTCTCTGCTTTCCTCGGTGGCTCCGCCCCGGGGCGGGCCTCGGGCTGTGTTTGGACTGGAGCAGGTGGAGCAGGGCTGGGTGCGTCCTCCGTGGGACCACCTGGCGCCTCGCTGGTGGAGGAAGAGAACCCGATGCTCGGAAGCCAGAACCTGAACCGGCTGGAGGGCCGCTGGCTCCCAGGCTTCTCGGCAGCGGCGCCGCCCTCGCCCCGGCTGACATCAGGGGTGAACTCGAGGACCTCCGCGGGCTCCTCGTCTGAACAGCTGTCGGCGGCACGCGGGGGGCCAGGGAGTGCTTCCCAGGCCGACGCAGGTGGTCCCGGCACGAGGACGGCACTCGAAGGGATGATTTCAAACGGCTCCCCGGTGTCCGGGTGCAGAGCTCCAGAAACAGGGTCGGCTCCCGGGGCCGCCCGTTCGGCAGTTGCCGGGAAGCCCTCGGGCGTCGAGGGGTCTGAGGAGACCAGGTGCACCTGTGCCCGCAGGGGCGTCTCCAGGACCTTCCCGGTCAGCAGGGAGAATCCATAGGACGGCGTCTGGATCTGGGAGGCCGGGACCTCCGCTTCCCGCACGATCTGAGTGGAAAAAGCCTCGTGGCCCGGCAGGTCGGTGAACTCTGCCGTGACCCTGCTGTGTATGGTGACTTCGTGGCTCTCAGCCCGAGTGCCTTGAATGTGCACCCTGACCTTAGAAATGGGAGAAGCGTCCGAGGGGAGGTCAAGGGCCGCAGGTTGCTGCCCGGGGACCTCAGCGCCTGCCTTCAGGAAGCTGGTGCCACAGGCACCAGGGCCGTCCTTGTGCTGGGCCAGGACACGGCTGCTGTCCTCATGCCTCGCCTCGCTCAGGGGAGGGACAAAGATGTCCACCTCGGAGCCGGGGGCCGGGAAGGTGAACCTGGGCACCTTCAACTCGGGGAACTTGACAGTGAGCACAGAATCCGCCCAGACCTGCCGCATGTGGACGACAGAGATCTGGGCTGGCATGTCGGTCCTCGAAGCCTTCAGCGTGAGGGGGCCCTCGGGCGGGGAAGGCGGGTGCTCTGTGCCTCCCGCATCCCCTGCTGGAGTCTCGCCCGTTTTCCCGGGAGGAGGTTGTGTTTCGGAAAGTCTCCCTCTGGGAGCCTGCAGGGGGTGGCAGCCTGCGCCTGGGCCCAGCTGGGTGCTCTCGGCAGTGGGAAGCTCACCCGAGGAGGTCCCTGTGGGAGGCGGGTGGGCCTGTAAGCCTCCGCCGTCGAGACTTCGCCTCAGAGCCTCTCCCTCTGCCTCTGGGGGTGGTGGGGACACAGGGGCTGCCGCCCCCGGCCCGCCAGCCGCACCCCGCTCTTTGGAGGAGCGCCAGAAGCTGGGCAGGCGGAGCGAGGGCATCCTGAACCAGCTGTCGTGCGGGCTGGCTGGCATGGTGCCCACTGCTGAGTCGCCCTCCTGGCTTCCAGCCGCAGGCGCTGCCGCCTCCCCTACGTCAGCCCCCAGCCTGTGGCCTGGGCTGCCCTCTCGGAGCGACGGGTCCCGTGCAGGTGGAGGATGGCCACCTGCAGCAGGGCTGGGTCTGAGGTCAGGCCCGGCGAAGCTGCCACCGGGAAGAAGAACCTGTGGCAGGGGGACCTCCGTGCCCACGCTTTCCAGGGGGCCCTCACTGCTGGCCGCTGGGGTGGCATGGGGGGCCACCCCTGCTGTGGAAATGGCAGCACCAACAAGGGCAGGCTCAGGGTCCCCTCCCTTGGAAGGCTTCGTTTTGGGAAGGGCCGGTTCTGGCACAGCAAAGCCAGGCATGGTCCCCTTCCCCTTCTCCGCATCGTTCTCAGGGGTTCCCTTCCCGGGGGCGCTGGGCACACCTGTCTCCACAGCCACGCTCTGTCCAGGGTCCTCTTTGGGCGCCACCTCCTTCTTCAGGGACCGTCTGAAGGACGGGAGGCGGAGACGCGGCATTTTTAGGGGGCTGCTTTTCCCCTCACCATCAGTGTCTTCAGCTGGTCCGGCCCCAGAGGCCATTGCCGATGTCCCCAGGCTGCCTTGCATCCCCTGGGACATAGAGACACTTGTGCTCAGCGGCTGGGTGCCTGGCCACAGGCCCACCTCGGCTTCCTCAGCATCTGGTACTGGTGCAGGGCTGGGGAGAGACACGGCACATCCCCTGGGTTGCGGCTCTGCATCCGCCACTATGGCACCAGACACAGGAAACCCGAACTTGGGTCTGTGAAATTTAGGGAAAGTCACCCGGCCATCAGATGTGACAGTCAGGGCGTGGCCAGGACCTGGGGGGCTGCCCGCTGAGAACAAAGGGACATGCTCCCAGGACGGGAGGTCTACAGAGGGTGCGGAGCTGAGACAGCGAGCTTCCCCCTGGGGCTCGGAGCTGGTGTCCTCCGGCACCTCCACAAAAATGGAGGTTCTGGGGACGGTCACCTGGTATTTTGTAAGAGTCACACGCTCACAAGATCTGACAACAGAGGACTCAGTGAGGGGACTGCCCATATCGAGGACGGCTGAGGACACACCAGGCCAGCCTAGGTGGCGCCCGGGCGCTGGTGGCACCGCAGATTCCCCGACAGACCAGTCCTCGGCTGGCACTTTGGGGGCAGTAGCTGCAGGGTCAGCTGTGGCGGCCCCTGGACCTTCCACCAGAGTGACCAGATGTGGAGGAGACTTTTCAGGGGGAGAGAACACCTTGGAGATTTTGAATGGTTGTTTCTTAATTTTGCTTTTTTCTTCAGATTTGAGGCCAGAGGGGAGCCTACCCAGGTGACCGCAGACAACAGAACGACGAGTTGAATCAACTAAATGCGAACCATGGTCAGGAGAGATCTCATCGGACAAAAAGTCACTGGAACGCAGGTCAGATGAAACTGGAGTCTTACTGGATGACGGCCGAAAACATGGCACCCTGACGTCGGGCATCTTGAACCTCCTGCTCACATCCTGGTCACCCAGGTTGCAGTCGCTGTCCACTTCGGCACCTGGTGAACGGATAACGACCTCCACACTTGGCATAACCTCATCCACAACTGGGACAACCACCTTGCTCTTAGAACCCTTAATGTCCATTTTGGACCCCTTAAAATCCACCTTGGGAATCTTGATGCTGGGCACCCGAACTTTTGACAGATGGCCTTTGACCCTGGCCCCCTCTGCTTTGCCCTTCAGCTCGCCCAGGCTCACCTCTCCCTCAGGGAGGGACACCTCCAGGTCTGCCCCGGGCAGCTGCACCTCAGCAGAGGGCGGATGGATGCCAGCCTCTGGGGCTCCCATCTCGACCCCCACCGAGGGCAGGCTCACCTCCCCCTGTGGCCTTGGGCACAGTCACGTCCACGGACGTCCCCAGATCCTTGCCTGAGGCCGACACGCCGAAGGACGGCATCTTGAACTTGGGCATCTTGAACTTGCTGGCCCCCTCCTTGTCGGCGGCGCCCAGGTCTGCCTCCAGCTTGGCGCCAGGCGCCTGCAGGTCCACCTCCACGCCGGGCAGCGGCACCTCCACCTCGGGGACGGCCACCTGGCCTTTGGCGCCCTTCACGTCCAGTTTCGGGCCCTTCAGGTCCACCTGGGGGCCCTTGATGTCCACCTGCGGGCCTCTGAAGTCCACCTTGGGCATCTTGATGCTGGGCATCTGCACCTTGGGCAGGTGGCCCTCTGGCAGCTTCACACCCAGCTCGCCTGTCTTCACGTCCACTTCGGCAGAGGGCAGCTCGACGCTGATGTCACTGGTCTTGACCTCGGCCTGCACGGAGGGCAGGGACACGTCCAGCGAGGCCTCGGCGGGCTTGCCTGAGGCCGACACGCCGAAGGACGGCATCTTGAACTTGGGCATCTTGAACTTGCTGGCCCCCTCCTTGTCGGCGGCGCCCAGGTCGGCCTCCAGCTTGGCGCCAGGCGCCTGCAGGTCCACCTCCACGCCGGGCAGCGGCACCTCCACCTCGGGGACGGTCACCTGGCCTTTGGCGCCCTTCACGTCCAGTTTCGGGCCCTTCAGGTCCACCTGGGGGCCCTTGATGTCAACATGGGGGCCCTTGATGTCCACCTTGGGCATCTTGATGCTGGGCATCTGCACCTTGGGCAGGTGGCCCTTGAACTTGGCCCCCCTCTGCTTTGCCCTTCAGCTCGCCCAGGCTCACCTCTCCCTCAGGGAGGGACACCTCCAGGTCTGCCCCGGGCAGCTGCACCTCAGCAGAGGGCGGATGGATGCCAGCCTCTGGGGCTCCCATCTCGACCCCCACCGAGGGCAGGCTCACCTCCCCTGTGGCCTTGGGCACAGTCACGTCCACGGACGTCCCCAGATCCTTGCCTGAGGCCGACACGCCGAAGGACGGCATCTTGAACTTGGGCATCTTGAACTTGCTGGCCCCCCTCCTTGTCGGCGGCGCCCAGGTCGGCCTCCAGCTTGGCGCCAGGCGCCTGCAGGTCCACCTCCACGCCGGGCAGCGGCACCTCCACCTCGGGGACGGCCACCTGGCCTTTGGCGCCCTTCACGTCCAGTTTCGGGCCCTTCAGGTCCACCTGGGGGCCCTTGATGTCCACCTGCGGGCCTCTGAAGTCCACCTTGGGCATCTTGATGCTGGGCATCTGCACCTTGGGCAGGTGGCCCTCTGGCAGCTTCACACCCAGCTCGCCTGTCTTCACGTCCACTTCGGCAGAGGGCAGCTCGACGCTGATGTCACTGGTCTTGACCTCGGCCTGCACGGAGGGCAGGGACACGTCCAGCGAGGCCTCGGCGGGCTTGCCTGAGGCCGACACGCCGAAGGACGGCATCTTGAACTTGGGCATCTTGAACTTGCTGGCCCCCCTCCTTGTCGGCGGCGCCCAGGTCGGCCTCCAGCTTGGCGCCAGGCGCCTGCAGGTCCACCTCCACGCCGGGCAGCGGCACCTCCACCTCGGGGACGGTCACCTGGCCTTTGGCGCCCTTCACGTCCAGTTTCGGGCCCTTCAGGTCCACCTGGGGGCCCTTGATGTCAACATGGGGGCCCTTGATGTCCACCTTGGGCATCTTGATGCTGGGCATCTGCACCTTGGGCAGGTGGCCCTTGAACTTGGCCCCCTCTGCTTTGCCCTTCAGCTCGCCCAGGCTCACCTCTCCCTCAGGGAGGGACACCTCCAGGTCTGCCCCGGGCAGCTGCACCTCAGCAGAGGGCGGATGGATGCCAGCCTCTGGGGCTCCCATCTCGACCCCCACCGAGGGCAGGCTCACCTCCCCTGTGGCCTTGGGCACAGTCACGTCCACGGACGTCCCCAGATCCTTGCCTGAGGCCGACACGCCGAAGGACGGCATCTTGAACTTGGGCATCTTGAACTTGCTGGCCCCCTCCTTGTCGGCGGCGCCCAGGTCGGCCTCCAGCTTGGCGCCAGGCGCCTGCAGGTCCACCTCCACGCCGGGCAGCGGCACCTCCACCTCGGGGACGGCCACCTGGCCTTTGGCGCCCTTCACGTCCAGTTTCGGGCCCTTCAGGTCCACCTGGGGGCCCTTGATGTCCACCTGCGGGCCTCTGAAGTCCACCTTGGGCATCTTGATGCTGGGCATCTGCACCTTGGGCAGGTGGCCCTCTGGCAGCTTCACACCCAGCTCGCCTGTCTTCACGTCCACTTCGGCAGAGGGCAGCTCGACGCTGATGTCACTGGTCTTGACCTCGGCCTGCACGGGAGGGCAGGGACACGTCCAGCGAGGCCTCGGCGGGCTTGCCTGAGGCCGACACGCCGAAGGACGGCATCTTGAACTTGGGCATCTTGAACTTGCTGGCCCCCTCCTTGTCGGCGGCGCCCAGGTCGGCCTCCAGCTTGGCGCCAGGCGCCTGCAGGTCCACCTCCACGCCGGGCAGCGGCACCTCCACCTCGGGGACGGTCACCTGGCCTTTGGCGCCCTTCACGTCCAGTTTCGGGCCCTTCAGGTCCACCTGGGGGCCCTTGATGTCAACATGGGGGCCCTTGATGTCCACCTTGGGCATCTTGATGCTGGGCATCTGCACCTTGGGCAGGTGGCCCTTGAACTTGGCCCCCCTCTGCTTTGCCCTTCAGCTCGCCCAGGCTCACCTCTCCCTCAGGGAGGGACACCTCCAGGTCTGCCCCGGGCAGCTGCACCTCAGCAGAGGGCGGATGGATGCCAGCCTCTGGGGCTCCCATCTCGACCCCCACCGAGGGCAGGCTCACCTCCCCTGTGGCCTTGGGCACAGTCACGTCCACGGACGTCCCCAGATCCTTGCCTGAGGCCGACACGCCGAAGGACGGCATCTTGAACTTGGGCATCTTGAACTTGCTGGCCCCCTCCTTGTCGGCGGCGCCCAGGTCGGCCTCCAGCTTGGCGCCAGGCGCCTGCAGGTCCACCTCCACGCCGGGCAGCGGCACCTCCACCTCGGGGACGGCCACCTGGCCTTTGGCGCCCTTCACGTCCAGTTTCGGGCCCTTCAGGTCCACCTGGGGGCCCTTGATGTCCACCTGCGGGCCTCTGAAGTCCACCTTGGGCATCTTGATGCTGGGCATCTGCACCTTGGGCAGGTGGCCCTCTGGCAGCTTCACACCCAGCTCGCCTGTCTTCACGTCCACTTCGGCAGAGGGCAGCTCGACGCTGATGTCACTGGTCTTGACCTCGGCCTGCACGGAGGGCAGGGACACGTCCAGCGAGGCCTCGGCGGGCTTGCCTGAGGCCGACACGCCGAAGGACGGCATCTTGAACTTGGGCATCTTGAACTTGCTGGCCCCCTCCTTGTCGGCGGCGCCCAGGTCGGCCTCCAGCTTGGCGCCAGGCGCCTGCAGGTCCACCTCCACGCCGGGCAGCGGCACCTCCACCTCGGGGACGGTCACCTGGCCTTTGGCGCCCTTCACGTCCAGTTTCGGGGCCCTTCAGGTCCACCTGGGGGCCCTTGATGTCAACATGGGGGCCCTTGATGTCCACCTTGGGCATCTTGATGCTGGGCATCTGCACCTTGGGCAGGTGGCCCTTGAACTTGGCCCCCCTCTGCTTTGCCCTTCAGCTCGCCCAGGCTCACCTCTCCCTCAGGGAGGGACACCTCCAGGTCTGCCCCGGGCAGCTGCACCTCAGCAGAGGGCGGATGGATGCCAGCCTCTGGGGCTCCCATCTCGACCCCCACCGAGGGCAGGCTCACCTCCCCTGTGGCCTTGGGCACAGTCACGTCCACGGACGTCCCCAGATCCTTGCCTGAGGCCGACACGCCGAAGGACGGCATCTTGAACTTGGGCATCTTGAACTTGCTGGCCCCCTCCTTGTCGGCGGCGCCCAGGTCGGCCTCCAGCTTGGCGCCAGGCGCCTGCAGGTCCACCTCCACGCCGGGCAGCGGCACCTCCACCTCGGGGACGGCCACCTGGCCTTTGGCGCCCTTCACGTCCAGTTTCGGGCCCTTCAGGTCCACCTGGGGACCCTTGATGTCCACCTGCGGGCCTCTGAAGTCCACCTTGGGCATCTTGATGCTGGGCATCTGCACCTTGGGCAGGTGGCCCTCTGGCAGCTTCACACCCAGCTCGCCTGTCTTCACGTCCACTTCGGCAGAGGGCAGCTCGACGCTGATGTCACTGGTCTTGACCTCGGCCTGCACGGAGGGCACGGACACGTCCAGCGAGGCCTCGGCGGGCTTGCCTGAGGCCGACACGCCGAAGGACGGCATCTTGAACTTGGGCATCTTGAACTTGCTGGCCCCCTTCCTTGTCGGCGGCGCCCAGGTCGGCCTCCAGCTTGGCGCCAGGCGCCTGCAGGTCCACCTCCACGCCGGGCAGCGGCACCTCCACCTCGGGGACGGTCACCTGGCCTTTGGCGCCCTTCACGTCCAGTTTCGGGCCCTTCAGGTCCACCTGGGGGCCCTTGATGTCAACATGGGGGCCCTTGATGTCCACCTTGGGCATCTTGATGCTGGGCATCTGCACCTTGGGCAGGTGGCCCTTGAACTTGGCCCCCTCTGCTTTGCCCTTCAGCTCGCCCAGGCTCACCTCTCCCTCAGGGAGGGACACCTCCAGGTCTGCCCCGGGCAGCTGCACCTCAGCAGAGGGCGGATGGATGCCAGCCTCTGGGGCTCCCATCTCGACCCCCACCGAGGGCAGGCTCACCTCCCCTGTGGCCTTGGGCACAGTCACGTCCACGGACGTCCCCAGATCCTTGCCTGAGGCCGACACGCCGAAGGACGGCATCTTGAACTTGGGCATCTTGAACTTGCTGGCCCCCTCCTTGTCGGCGGCGCCCAGGTCGGCCTCCAGCTTGGCGCCAGGCGCCTGCAGGTCCACCTCCACGCCGGGCAGCGGCACCTCCACCTCGGGGACGGCCACCTGGCCTTTGGCGCCCTTCACGTCCAGTTTCGGGCCCTTCAGGTCCACCTGGGGGCCCTTGATGTCCACCTGCGGGCCTCTGAAGTCCACCTTGGGCATCTTGATGCTGGGCATCTGCACCTTGGGCAGGTGGCCCTCTGGCAGCTTCACACCCAGCTCGCCTGTCTTCACGTCCACTTCGGCAGAGGGCAGCTCGACGCTGATGTCACTGGTCTTGACCTCGGCCTGCACGGAGGGCAGGGACACGTCCAGCGAGGCCTCGGCGGGCTTGCCTGAGGCCGACACGCCGAAGGACGGCATCTTGAACTTGGGCATCTTGAACTTGCTGGCCCCCTCCTTGTCGGCGGCGCCCAGGTCGGCCTCCAGCTTGGCGCCAGGCGCCTGCAGGTCCACCTCCACGCCGGGCAGCGGCACCTCCACCTCGGGGACGGTCACCTGGCCTTTGGCGCCCTTCACGTCCAGTTTCGGGCCCTTCAGGTCCACCTGGGGGCCCTTGATGTCAACATGGGGGCCCTTGATGTCCACCTTGGGCATCTTGATGCTGGGCATCTGCACCTTGGGCAGGTGGCCCTTGAACTTGGCCCCCTCTGCTTTGCCCTTCAGCTCGCCCAGGCTCACCTCTCCCTCAGGGAGGGACACCTCCAGGTCTGCCCCGGGCAGCTGCACCTCAGCAGAGGGCGGATGGATGCCAGCCTCTGGGGCTCCCATCTCGACCCCCACCGAGGGCAGGCTCACCTCCCCTGTGGCCTTGGGCACAGTCACGTCCACGGACGTCCCCAGATCCTTGCCTGAGGCCGACACGCCGAAGGACGGCATCTTGAACTTGGGCATCTTGAACTTGCTGGCCCCCTCCTTGTCGGCGGCGCCCAGGTCGGCCTCCAGCTTGGCGCCAGGCGCCTGCAGGTCCACCTCCACGCCGGGCAGCGGCACCTCCACCTCGGGGACGGCCACCTGGCCTTTGGCGCCCTTCACGTCCAGTTTCGGGCCCTTCAGGTCCACCTGGGGGCCCTTGATGTCCACCTGCGGCCCTCTGAAGTCCACCTTGGGCATCTTGATGCTGGGCATCTGCACCTTGGGCAGGTGGCCCTCTGGCAGCTTCACACCCAGCTCGCCTGTCTTCACGTCCACTTCGGCAGAGGGCAGCTCGACGCTGATGTCACTGGTCTTGACCTCGGCCTGCACGGAGGGCAGGGACACGTCCAGCGAGGCCTCGGCGGGCTTGCCTGAGGCCGACACGCCGAAGGACGGCATCTTGAACTTGGGCATCTTGAACTTGCTGGCCCCCTCCTTGTCGGCGGCGCCCAGGTCGGCCTCCAGCTTGGCGCCAGGCGCCTGCAGGTCCACCTCCACGCCGGGCAGCGGCACCTCCACCTCGGGGACGGTCACCTGGCCTTTGGCGCCCTTCACGTCCAGTTTCGGGGCCCTTCAGGTCCACCTGGGGGCCCTTGATGTCAACATGGGGGCCCTTGATGTCCACCTTGGGCATCTTGATGCTGGGCATCTGCACCTTGGGCAGGTGGCCCTTGAACTTGGCCCCCTCTGCTTTGCCCTTCAGCTCGCCCAGGCTCACCTCTCCCTCAGGGAGGGACACCTCCAGGTCTGCCCCGGGCAGCTGCACCTCAGCAGAGGGCGGATGGATGCCAGCCTCTGGGGCTCCCATCTCGACCCCCACCGAGGGCAGGCTCACCTCCCCTGTGGCCTTGGGCACAGTCACGTCCACGGACGTCCCCAGATCCTTGCCTGAGGCCGACACGCCGAAGGACGGCATCTTGAACTTGGGCATCTTGAACTTGCTGGCCCCCTCCTTGTCGGCGGCGCCCAGGTCGGCCTCCAGCTTGGCGCCAGGCGCCTGCAGGTCCACCTCCACGCCGGGCAGCGGCACCTCCACCTCGGGGACGGCCACCTGGCCTTTGGCGCCCTTCACGTCCAGTTTCGGGCCCTTCAGGTCCACCTGGGGGCCCTTGATGTCCACCTGCGGGCCTCTGAAGTCCACCTTGGGCATCTTGATGCTGGGCATCTGCACCTTGGGCAGGTGGCCCTCTGGCAGCTTCACACCCAGCTCGCCTGTCTTCACGTCCACTTCGGCAGAGGGCAGCTCGACGCTGATGTCACTGGTCTTGACCTCGGCCTGCACGGAGGGCAGGGACACGTCCAGCGAGGCCTCGGCGGGCTTGCCTGAGGCCGACACGCCGAAGGACGGCATCTTGAACTTGGGCATCTTGAACTTGCTGGCCCCCTCCTTGTCGGCGGCGCCCAGGTCGGCCTCCAGCTTGGCGCCAGGCGCCTGCAGGTCCACCTCCACGCCGGGCAGCGGCACCTCCACCTCGGGGACGGTCACCTGGCCTTTGGCGCCCTTCACGTCCAGTTTCGGGCCCTTCAGGTCCACCTGGGGGCCCTTGATGTCAACATGGGGGCCCTTGATGTCCACCTTGGGCATCTTGATGCTGGGCATCTGCACCTTGGGCAGGTGGCCCTTGAACTTGGCCCCCTCTGCTTTGCCCTTCAGCTCGCCCAGGCTCACCTCTCCCTCAGGGAGGGACACCTCCAGGTCTGCCCCGGGCAGCTGCACCTCAGCAGAGGGCGGATGGATGCCAGCCTCTGGGGCTCCCATCTCGACCCCCACCGAGGGCAGGCTCACCTCCCCTGTGGCCTTGGGCACAGTCACGTCCACGGACGTCCCCAGATCCTTGCCTGAGGCCGACACGCCGAAGGACGGCATCTTGAACTTGGGCATCTTGAACTTGCTGGCCCCCTCCTTGTCGGCGGCGCCCAGGTCGGCCTCCAGCTTGGCGCCAGGCGCCTGCAGGTCCACCTCCACGCCGGGCAGCGGCACCTCCACCTCGGGGACGGCCACCTGGCCTTTGGCGCCCTTCACGTCCAGTTTCGGGCCCTTCAGGTCCACCTGGGGGCCCTTGATGTCCACCTGCGGGCCTCTGAAGTCCACCTTGGGCATCTTGATGCTGGGCATCTGCACCTTGGGCAGGTGGCCCTCTGGCAGCTTCACACCCAGCTCGCCTGTCTTCACGTCCACTTCGGCAGAGGGCAGCTCGACGCTGATGTCACTGGTCTTGACCTCGGCCTGCACGGAGGGCAGGGACACGTCCAGCGAGGCCTCGGCGGGCTTGCCTGAGGCCGACACGCCGAAGGACGGCATCTTGAACTTGGGCATCTTGAACTTGCTGGCCCCCTCCTTGTCGGCGGCGCCCAGGTCGGCCTCCAGCTTGGCGCCAGGCGCCTGCAGGTCCACCTCCACGCCGGGCAGCGGCACCTCCACCTCGGGGACGGTCACCTGGCCTTTGGCGCCCTTCACGTCCAGTTTCGGGCCCTTCAGGTCCACCTGGGGGCCCTTGATGTCAACATGGGGGCCCTTGATGTCCACCTTGGGCATCTTGATGCTGGGCATCTGCACCTTGGGCAGGTGGCCCTTGAACTTGGCCCCCTCTGCTTTGCCCTTCAGCTCGCCCAGGCTCACCTCTCCCTCAGGGAGGGACACCTCCAGGTCTGCCCCGGGCAGCTGCACCTCAGCAGAGGGCGGATGGATGCCAGCCTCTGGGGCTCCCATCTCGACCCCCACCGAGGGCAGGCTCACCTCCCCTGTGGCCTTGGGCACAGTCACGTCCACGGACGTCCCCAGATCCTTGCCTGAGGCCGACACGCCGAAGGACGGCATCTTGAACTTGGGCATCTTGAACTTGCTGGCCCCCCTCCTTGTCGGCGGCGCCCAGGTCGGCCTCCAGCTTGGCGCCAGGCGCCTGCAGGTCCACCTCCACGCCGGGCAGCGGCACCTCCACCTCGGGGACGGCCACCTGGCCTTTGGCGCCCTTCACGTCCAGTTTCGGGCCCTTCAGGTCCACCTGGGGGCCCTTGATGTCCACCTGCGGGCCTCTGAAGTCCACCTTGGGCATCTTGATGCTGGGCATCTGCACCTTGGGCAGGTGGCCCTCTGGCAGCTTCACACCCAGCTCGCCTGTCTTCACGTCCACTTCGGCAGAGGGCAGCTCGACTGCTGATGTCACTGGTCTTGACCTCGGCCTGCACGGAGGGCAGGGACACGTCCAGCGAGGCCTCGGCGGGCTTGCCTGAGGCCGACACGCCGAAGGACGGCATCTTGAACTTGGGCATCTTGAACTTGCTGGCCCCCTCCTTGTCGGCGGCGCCCAGGTCGGCCTCCAGCTTGGCGCCAGGCGCCTGCAGGTCCACCTCCACGCCGGGCAGCGGCACCTCCACCTCGGGGACGGTCACCTGGCCTTTGGCGCCCTTCACGTCCAGTTTCGGGCCCTTCAGGTCCACCTGGGGGCCCTTGATGTCCACCTGCGGGCCTCTGAAGTCCACCTTGGGCATCTTGATGCTGGGCATCTGCACCTTGGGCAGGTGGCCCTCTGGCAGCTTCACACCCAGCTCACCTGTCTTCACGTCCACTTCGGCAGAGGGCAGCTCGACGCTGATGTCACTGGTCTTGACCTCGGCCTGCACGGAGGGCAGGGACACGTCCAGCGAGGCCTCGGCGGGCTTGCCTGAGGCCGACACGCCGAAGGACGGCATCTTGAACTTGGGCATCTTGAACTTGCTGGCCCCCTCCTTGTCGGCGGCGCCCAGGTCGGCCTCCAGCTTGGCGCCAGGCGCCTGCAGGTCCACCTCCACGCCGGGCAGCGGCACCTCCACCTCGGGGACGGTCACCTGGCCTTTGGCGCCCTTCACGTCCAGTTTCGGGCCCTTCAGGTCCACCTGGGGGCCCTTGATGTCCACCTGCGGGCCTCTGAAGTCCACCTTGGGCATCTTGATGCTGGGCATCTGCACCTTGGGCAGGTGGCCCTCTGGCATGCTTCACACCCAGCTCGCCTGTCTTCACGTCCACTTCGGCAGAGGGCAGCTCGACGCTGATGTCACCCTGGGGCTCTCTTGACCTCGGCCTGCACGGAGGGCAGGGACACGTCCAGCGAGGCCTCGGCGGGCTTGCCTGAGGCCGACACGCCGAAGGACGGCATCTTGAACTTGGGCATCTTGAACTTGCTGGCCCCCTCCTTGTCTGCGGCGCCCAGGTCTGCCTCCAGCTTGGCGCCAGGCGCCTGCAGGTCCACCTCCACGCCGGGCAGCGGCACCTCCACCTCGGGGACGGTCACCTGGCCTTTGGCGCCCTTCACGTCCAGTTTCGGGCCCTTCAGGTCCACCTGGGGGCCCTTGTTGTCCACCTGCGGGCCTCTGAAGTCCACCTTGGGCATCTTGATGCTGGGCATCTGCACCTTGGGCAGGTGGCCCTCTGGCACCCTCGCTTCACACCCAGCTCGCCTGTCTTCACGTCCACTTCGGCAGAGGGCAGCTCGACGCTGATGTCACTGGGCTCTCTTGACCTCGGCCTGCACGGAGGGCAGGGACACGTCCAGCGAGGCCTCGGCGGGCTTGCCTGAGGCCGACACGCCGAAGGACGGCATCTTGAACTTGGGCATCTTGAACTTGCTGGCCCCCCTCCTTGTCGGCGGCGCCCAGGTCGGCCTCCAGCTTGGCGCCAGGCGCCTGCAGGTCCACCTCCACGCCGGGCAGCGGCACCTCCACCTCGGGGACGGTCACCTGGCCTTTGGCGCCCTTCACGTCCAGTTTCGGGCCCTTCAGGTCCACCTGGGGGCCCTTGATGTCCACCTGCGGGCCTCTGAAGTCCACCTTGGGCATCTTGATGCTGGGCATCTGCACCTTGGGCAGGTGGCCCTCTGGCAGCTTCACACCCAGCTCGCCTGTCTTCACGTCCACTTCGGCAGAGGGCAGCTCGACGCTGATGTCACTGGTCTTGACCTCGGCCTGCACGGAGGGCAGGGACACGTCCAGCGAGGCCTCGGCGGGCTTGCCTGAGGCCGACACGCCGAAGGACGGCATCTTGAACTTGGGCATCTTGAACCTCCGTTCCCTGGTTTCCAACTCTGTGTCCTTGGCACTTGTTTCCCTCTCCCTTGTTCCTTCCAGTTCCTTGGCAATGAGCTGTTTTCGAATTCTTGTCCGGACTTTGCCGTCGTCTCCATAGCTGCCTTGTGCGTCCCTCTGCAATGGGAGAATGGTGAGAGTTGTGGTTCTGTCTTTGTGTCTGTTTTCTGTCCTTGTGTCCTTGCACTTCACTTGCCTTGAACGTGAGCGACCGCCCGAATGGCTGTCCTGTGTCGTGTGACTTCCCTGTTTCGGTCCCTTTCTTGGCCCTCTTCCTTGTGTTCCTGTCTCAGTCCTGGGCTGTCCTTCTCTGCTCTTGCTCTTCCCGAGTGCTAGACACACTCCAGAGACCCTGTCCCTCTATGTCTATGGGCTCTTGTCCCTGCTCCCTGGGCTCTGTCACCTGCCCTACCCTGCCTGGGTCCTGCTCAAGGGCCATCCTCCTGCTGCTGTCCCCAGCAGCTTTCCAGAAAAAGTCAAGTTTGGGTTCCTTGTGTTGGCATTTGGATGTGGGCCTCAAGCGGATGGCTCTGCGTCACCTGCCACTGCAGCCTCTTGCAGGGATGGCCTTCCACCCTAGTTTTGCGCCCCTGTGCTCCCTCCCTTTTTGTGGGACACCCTGCCCTGTCGGGAGCTTGTGCCTTTCTGGGTTCCCCTTATGGCACAAGCTGCTCCGGGACCTTTCGCTCCTGTGCCAATGTTTGGCGTCTGGGGTCCATGCCGGCCCCACGCCCCAGGCTCTGCGTTAGCTCTGGGGGTGGCTGCCTGTGGGGGGCGTGTCCCTTCCTGGGTGTCTCTCCACCTGGCTGCTCCCCTGCCGTGAGCAACGGCCCTCGGGTCCTGCAGGATGTCATCCCAGGACCCTGCCCCCTCCAGGTCCCTGGTCTGGAAAGCCCCGCCTTGGGCCCCTCTGTCAGGTGCCCCACCCATGGTGGCCCCACCTCTGAGCCCACCTTGAACTGCAGGTCCAGGAGCCTTCTCCTCCGCCGGCTGCCCGGCCCTGGTCCCTGTTCCTGCTCCTCTGCTGGGAACCGGGCCTCAGCGTCTGAGCTCGTGGGGGATGTGTCCATGGTCTTGCCCTTCTCATAGGCCTCGGAGGAGCTGCGTGACCTCCGGGGCCCTCGCTTGGTCTTTATGGCTTGGAATTTGGGCCAGGAGAGCCTCTCCCCCCGGGAATGCCGGCCTCGGCCCTCCCTGGGCCTGGAGATGAGTCTCTCCTGGTCTCCATCTGCCTCCAGCGTCTTCACAGGGGTGTCTGTGCTCCCGCAGGCCACATCCAAGTCCTGAAACACACGGAGAGGGTGCCTGTGGGAACCAGCACGTGGCGGCCGGGGCCTGGGTGCGGGGGCATCCTGGCCCGGACCCGGGGGCCGCGGCAGCCGCACCTGCTTCTCCGTGAGCTTCGGGGCGTGCCGAGTGGCACTGCGAGCCTGCTCGCCGTCCCCACCGAGAGGAAGTTGCCGCTTGACCTTGAGTTGGACCTTGTACGGCTCCGAGTACTGGAGGATTTTGAGAGCATCCTCATAGCTGATATTGTCAAAGAAAATGGTGGCACTGAGCAGCTGGTCCCCTGGAAAAGCACAGAGTGGCCGCGGGCTCAGCTCTCTGACCCCCTTGCACAGAGAAGGGTCCTGCTGGGGCCCGGCACAGGGAGGAGCCCGCCTCGCTGCCCAGCCCCTCCCTCCATGGAGCTTTGGCGGGAGGGCCCCTCCCAGGCAACAGGTGAGAACACCCAGCAGGGCCGGCCCTTCTCCGGACAGGGACCGTGGGGACCAGGGGAACCAGGGGGGCCCCGGGGACGGGGCAGCCGTGGCACCTTCTCTCAGGCTGAAGAGCCTGGCAGCCGAGGAGCCCGGCAGCACTTGCTTCACGAAGATGCCCTGGTCCCCGCCACCTGTGACACTGTAGCCGCTGACACCGGCCTCTGCCTCGGTCTTCAGCGTCACCTCTGTCGCCTCCTGCACGGACAGAGCAGAAGCGTGCCAGCGCCTCAGTGAGCACATGCATGTCCCAGCGTGGGCTCAGTGCTGAGGCTCCCTCCCCGGAGGACAGAGCCCCCAGGTCCTGCCCGTCGCCCAGCGACAAAGGAGAAGCCCCACCAGGCAGGCAGCTCCACCCGCCTCCGGTGGGAACGGCCTTTTCCTGCCTCCACCCCCACCTGCCAGGACTTGGGAGCAGCCTGTCCACAGCCGTCCAGACCCAGAGGGCCCGGCCACGAAGGGGAGAGGCCCCTCCGCCCCGGTGGTCCGAGCCTCCTCCATCTCGCTCCGGTCATTCTCCAAGCTCTGCTTGCCCATAAGGCAGCTGGTGCTCAAGCCACACAGGGTCACAAACGCTGAAGCAAATGAAGCCCATGGCGCAGCCGGCAGGGCTGGAGACCTGCCCTCTGCTGCTGACGACAGAACAGGCCTCAAGGGGCAGTGCCCACGTCGCCAGGAGCCACAGACTCGGGCGCTGCCTGGCCACCCATGTGCAGCCGGGCCTGCGCACCGGGGTCCTCTGGCCAGAGTCCGGCCCTTCGCCATGGGGTGCTGGGCTGTGGGGAGGCCTGGACTGGCCTTCGGGAGCCCCTGAGCCCCAGGCCTGACGAGGGGGACAGGGGCCAGCCACAGGGCACAGGAGCACGCTGCCATGCCCCCTACCCCTCCTTCCCGCCCCGCCACAGCCCTCGTGCAGGGTTCACCCCCCACCCTCCACTCCCGCCTCACCCACCTCTGCGTGACTCATCCTGGAAAACGTCCGGGAGTCCCCAGAATCCCACTTCCACCAGGACCTGCGTCTCCCCGAGGGGGCTCGCCTGCCGGGTGTGTCTTCCTACAGCCACAGACACCGGGGTCACCCGTCTGCCCAGGCCAGGGCACGGGAGGGACGCCGGGAGGCCAGGAAGCCCCACGTAGAGGCCCAGACCCCAGACCCCCGGGGGAGCTGTGTGCAGACAGGCATCCTCAGCTGCGGGGACACCGCCTGCATCCGCCACATGGAGACGGCAGGCCCCTCTCCACAGGTGGGCACACGAACGGGCACACGAACGGGCACGTGAAGTGAGGGGGCGGAGTCAGAGAGCAGGGCCCGTGGGGCATCGCGGTGGCTAGTGGGGCTGCCCACACAGGGCGACACAGCAGGAGAGGTGTCCCCGGGGGCCCACACCCAAGCCTGCCCTCCGCCCGTGGGTCTCTGTCCAGCAGGCTCACCGGGCGTCCAAAGCCCTCCGTCACGCATTCATAGACAGGCGAGGACCCCTGTGGCCGTGGCCGGATGATCTCGTCCGCGGGCCCCTCAGTCACCTGGCAGGAGTAGAGAAAAGGGTCACCTCAGCTGCACAGGGCTGGCCCAGACCCGCGGGAAGGGGTGGGGTTTGGGGGGCCGCGCTCCCCGGGGCCTCACTCACAGAGGGGTCGTCCTCCGGGTCCGTGTCTGGCAACCCAGGCTGCAGCTGGCGGCCGGACACTGTGGAGAGAGAGGAAGAGTCAGGGCCGCAGCTCCGGTTGGTGGGCCCAGGGGGCACAGAGGCTGTGGGGGTGGAGTCACCTCGTAGGGTCGCTGAGCCTGAGGCCACCTGCAAAGTAGACCCACAGCCACTGGGCCCGAGGCTGTGACTGCAGGTCACGGGGCTGCAGGACAGGAGAGCTCAGACCAAGGGACAGCCCCCGAGGACTGAGTCCCAGAAAGTCACCGAACATGAACACGGTGATAGTCAGTCCGAGGGGACTCCGAATCCAGAGTAGCTGCAACGTGGAGCCCATGACGTCCGGCATTTGACAGAAATCCACACACGCAAAGAAACGAGACAGCGGGACCCACCCGAGGAGCAAAGCTGGGGACAGAGCTGTCCCTGAATGCCCACCGATGCAGCATTTAGAAGAGACCCCACAGCGATTACCGTAAACTTGTCCAGAAGTGAAAGGAAACCATGCTTGAAGAATTGCTGGAAAATATACGGCATTGATGAAGGAAGATGGTCATGAGGAAATAAAATTTACATTTGTAAAAAGAACAACAAGCGAGCATTCAGGAGCAGGAAGTTCACTGCAGGGACTCAACAGCAGGGTTGAGACGGACGCGAGGAGAAAGCAACAGGCGTTGGTCAGTGCAGGTGAACCCGCCGCAGGACGGAGGAACACAGACGGGCGCCTTCGGGGCCCAGCTCTGCGTGTGTGCGGAGGGGGGGACCCGCAGGGAAGGAGGGGGAAGCGCAGCAGCACGTCTGAGGATGTGACGGCTAAGAAAGCCCGCAGTCCTCGGAACCCAGCAAACTGCAGCAGGACAAACACAGAGGCACGCAGGCCGGGCCCAGCACAGCCGAGCGCTCACGGGGCGGAGAGAATGGCAGAAGCCACTGGAAGGAAATGACCTGGCCACAACATCGAGGGCACAAGGACCACGCAGAGCCGACACCCCGGAGCAGGGAGAGAGCGAAAGGATCTGTTCAAACGGTGGAAAGGAAAACGCCGTGACCCTCGAATTCCGCAGCAAACCGTCCTTCAAAAATAAAGGCGAAGAGCACAGATGTCGGCAGACAGGGCGACCCGGGGGCGGGGGGGCAGCGGAGCAGCCCCGCCCGAAATGCCGCAGCAAAGCGGCGGGCTCCACACACGGACGCAAACCCAAGGGCCGGTGTGGAGCGTGGGGAGAGCGGCTCACGTGGCCTCCACAGAAATGCAGTTTCCACACTCTGCCCTCGAACTCCCTGAAGAAACTCGAGACCTTGCGCAGCTGGGGGTGGCAAACTTCTCGTAGGGCTGGGCTGCGGGCATCTGAGACCTGTGATCGCCGTCCTAGCTCTTGGGCCGTGCAGGGTGGTGGCTGCGGACAACACGCGGGTGGAGCGTGGCCGCGCCCCTGCGACACCGGACCCACCAAACACACACAGGCCGGCGCCTGCCAGCCGCCCTCTGGAGGCAAAAATTGTGACACTGGTGTCACAATGTGCAGGGATGTGGTGGCTGTGACCATCCAGCAGAAAGGACAGGGGTGTGTCAGGCCCAAGTTTCTGTATTTTACCAGAATTAAGCAGGCGCTGCCTCAGGTGGGGGGCCTGGGGCCACCAGGCTGCACCCCCACTGCACACCAGGTGGGCCGACCAGCAGGCCCCTGCTCCTGGTGACCTCAACATACACCTGAATCTGCGGACACCTGCAGGGAAGGTAGAGGGACGAACTGGCAGGCCCACAGCTCCAGCAGCAGGCCTGCCAACCCGCTTGGTGACTGTGGCCTCACAGAACAGGACAGGTGGCAATGCTCAGCCTGCCACCGGCCAGCAAGCTGCTGCGGACCGTGCTACCTGGTGTGGCAGGACCCACGGTCCTTCTAAGTGCACCTGAGGCCGTCCCCAAGGCAGACCACACACGCTGGCTCCTTTCAAATGCTTCCATAACGTGTGCGATAGTTTAAATCACAGCCGGTGTCTTCTCTGCCCCCAGTGGGGCCGACACAGGCCCGAGAAACAGGAAGAGGAGGCTGGAAGGCCCAGGATGGTCCCGTTTCACGTGCCCACTCGGCTTGGACATGCAGCCAAGTTACTTCCAAAGGAAGACGCCACGTTTTCCCACAGTGGTTCCGGGCAGACCGGCTGTTTCTCTGTGGGTCGTGGGGGGCAGGGGCACCAGGAACCTCACCTCACGGCACATGAACTCTAACTCAGGATGAATCACAGAGCTAAGTGTGAAACCTAAAACTCTAAAACCAGAAGGAAACATGGGAGAAATTCCTTGCCACTTGGAGGAGGCAAAGCGTTTTTAGGTAGGATACACAAGGTGTGAATCATAAAAGAAAATGTGATGCTATATTTCATCCTAATTAAATACCTGTGGTCTGGAGCGCCATTCTTTTCTTAAACATTTCTATCGATTGATTTTAGAGAGAGGGCGAGAGAGAAACACGGATTTAATGCTCCACCCAGGCATTCATTGGCTGATGCTCAGATGTGCCCTGACCGGGGGTTGAACCTGCAGCCCTGGGACGATGCTCTAATCTAACCCGTGGGGAGCCGCCTGCTGGTATGGAAAAGCATTTTGAAGGGAATGAAAAGGCAACCGATGTATCTGTCTGGGGTCAGCTGAACTGCAGCTCAGTAGAAAAAGATAAAACACTCAGTTAAAAGTGGGCAGAAGATTTGAACAAACAGGACCCCAAAGCTGGACCAATAAGCACAGGAAAGATGGTCGGCACCCCCAGGCGAAAGTGAACCGGGAAGGAAAACCGACGGGACAGAACCAGGATCCCAGAAGTGTGTGCAGACAGACGCCAGCTCCAGGAGACGGAGGACCCTTCTGTCACTGCTGCTGGGTGCCCTGGTCTCCAAATTAAAAACGTCCCTGTTGGCTCCATGTCGGCCCCCCCTCGGTCCTGGAAAGGGCACATTCCCTGTGCGCTGGAGAGCCGAGGCCAATGGCATAACTGTCATGCTTCCAGGAGATAAATGGAACAATTCTTAACCAGGACACCAGAAGTGTCTAGAGGAGCCGGCAGAGGACGTGAAGTGCAGAGGCTAGGTCGACGGAGGACGTCGAGTCACACCGCGGGCCTGGAGGAGAGACGCGCGACAGACCCCGAATGACCTCTGACACGAACGCGCAAAGAACCCTGCCCACTGAAAGCAAAAGACGGGAACCCAACAGCAAAATGGGCAAGGAAACTTCCGAAAAGCAACTAAGTCACCAGGAGGGCCCCACCGGCCAGCTGACCCCGAGAGGTACGCAGCCCCGTCCCGCGCCGCGCTGCGGGCTGGGCGGAGCAGGCCCTGGCTCTGCATGGGCCTGGCAGTCTCGCGAGAGCCGCCTGCGGCTCCGCAGCACCACGCCCGGCTTTGCAGGAAGTCAGGCGCTAGATCGCCAAGAGATGGGCACAAAAATGCCCTCCGAGCACTATTTCAGAAATGAGAAGGCTGAGATGTCCATCACCGGTGGGACGGGCGCAGCGCTGGATGCTCGTCCGGCGGAATCACGCAGGGCGAGGCACCTGAACAGCCGCAACCAGGGGAAGCGCGGGCGGAGACGGCGGGGGCGGGGCCGGCGGTGAGGGTCCAATCCGGGCGCCGCCTTCACTGGCGTGTAAACTTTGGGAAAACACCGCACACTTGGGGCTTGTGCCCCTTTTCAAGGAAAAAAAACTCAATCCTACATAAAACTGAAGTGAGGAAATCATAGACGTTGGGCCAATAAGTCTGAACATTTAGAGAAGTTGGACATATTCCTCGAGAAACACCCTGCCAACCCGGCAGGGAAAACAATCGGAAGAGCTCTGGACGACCCGACAATCAAACCCTTTATCTGAAATCTTCCGCGCACCGGGCCCAGCCCTGCCCCGAGCGGCTCTGAACGCTGAAGGAAACCGCAGGGACCTCTCTCCAGCCCCGGTACCCCCGTTGCTGGTGACTCCTGGGCTCCAGCACGGGAGGGGGGCGGGGTGGGGGTGCTGCTGCACCCGGCCCTGTCCCCAGGCCGCGGATGGAGCAGGCCAGTCCTGGCGGGAGTCCAGGTTTGGCCGCTGCTCTCCGGACGATTTGCTCTGTGACCTTGAGCAAGCCCATTTCCTCTCTTGAGCCTCAGTTTCCCCATAGATGTCCGAGGGCTACTCTGCCCACCGGAAGAACCAGAGGGGGCCGTGCAAAGGAGCAGGTGGTGCGGGGAGAGGGGCAGGTGGGGGGTGGGCGGAATGGGAAGGTGTGCAGTGGCGAAGCCGTCTTGTGAGGGGCAGCTCAGGGCAGCAGAGCCAACTGACCTTGATTCCAGCCTCCAGGGAGGGAGAGGTGGGGACTAGAGCCCTTTCCTGAGGAGTCACTTCCACCCTGGCAGTGGGTCCCACTCTCCCTGGCCTTGGTTTCCCTTCCCATTCTGCCCAGATCCTCACCCCTTCCCCAAAATGAGGGCACTGTGAATCAGGAATGAGGCAACTAAGGCTGGCAGAGGGGAAGCTGCTTGCCCGGGGGGCCAGCCTGGGCCAGGGCAGTGGAGGGTCTGGCTGGCCTAGGGCGCAGGCAGCCCTCACAGAGGGGTGGCTCCAGGCCAGCCAGAAACCCAGCCTCCCCTCCCTCAGCCTCCGCAGTGAGACTCTGAGTCACAACAAAACAAGGGCCAGTAGCCGCCCTCCTGGGCAGGCAGACAGGCATGGCGCTGCGGGGGCAGCATCAGCACGGCGGGGAGGGGCTCTGGGACCCTGGGCAGGGAGAGGGCGGGCCAGCAAGCAGGGTTTCGAGCTGGGTGCTGAGGAGGTGGCCTTTCCAGGGGCAACGTAGTGGAAGGGCCCCCGAGCCAGGCAGGGACCCCAGACCCTGAGAGGCTCTATCCCCAGCCTGCTTGGAGGAGTCTCGTGGGTGACAAGGGCGGGTGAGAGAGGTGGGGCGAGCCGGGCTTTGAACCTGCGTGCGGCAGGGGAAGCTCGGCTGCTCCAGCCACCCCTCAGCTGGCCGAGCCCACCACCACGGGGAGGAAGAGCGGGCTGGGGAGACC